CACTACCCTCAGGCAACTATTACTGAAGCTATTGCTTAGTTCTGAGATGAAGGAATCTAAGGACACAGTGGCTTACTGTAAATACTTCAGGAAGAAAAAAATCTTTGAGCACTGTTGGTACATCTGAGTTCTAAGAAGAACGTCAGAAGATAATGCAAGAGCTTTAGTGGAAGAGATTAAATTGATTAATGAAATTGATTTTTAAAATCCATTAATGTAGAGAAAAATCTGAGGATAAAGAACTAATTTTAATGAACTCAATTTTTAAATTCTCTTTTTTTATTTTAAATTTAATATTTGGGGGATGCTGGGAGATTCAGTGGAACTCAAGGAGTAGAAAGAAAACACATAGAGAAGAGAGATTTACATTCTAATTGGACACTTCTCATTTGTAAATGAGGCAAAGAATTTAAAAGATAAACATTATGTGTCGGATAACAGGTTTATTGAGAGAAGTAGACTCAGTAAGCATAACTTTATTGTTTCTTTTTCCACCCTTGTAAAGCCAGGCTCTGGACTTGTGGCCCTAGAGAAGTTCTCAGCTAGGTCTTTTTGCTTTTATTGCTACTTTATGGAACAAGAACAATCTTGTCAGTAATCTAAAAGTTCCATCTATTTGAAAATAAAATTCAGATTTGTATTCAGTTTAAGGTTTGAGCCCTGCCCTAACATGGCCTGCAGTATGAGGTCAGCTTCTTTTCATTGGTCTGCCTTCTCCCAGGTCAGCCAGCTCCTGTTGCAGACCCCTCTAGCGTTGAGCCCCTGGGGAGAGACTACTGGGGGATGACATGTTCTACGGAGTGGGTGCTGTTGTCATGTGACATCAAGCCTTTGTGCAGCAATTGCACAATGGCTGCCTCTTTCTCTTCTGGGGCCCTTTAGTTTTCTTGGTAAGCATCAGGCTGAAAGCCTCCTACAACAGTTCGTTTGACACAAGCCTTACCACTCCTGTTGGCTTCTCCCCCTGGCTTACTCCAAACCTCGCTTTGCGTCCCGCCCCACTGCCACCCTCCTCCAGAACCTGGGTCTCCCTCCGACCTCTGCTGAGTCATTGGCCTTTCCGGGCAGAGCCCCTTTCAAGTGGCTGACAGCAGGCTCATTCCTGGAGCCTGTATCTGACCCTCCAGGGAGCACGTCCTTGGCCTCACCCTGAGCAGAAAGGCAACTCTTTCCCATACAGCCCTTCTTTGCTCTGTCACCAGGCAATTGTGTCCCTCACTAAACTCCACGGGACATTTGTCAAGCTTCTGAGTAGTTTCTTGAAACTCATCATTCGACTTTGGATGGGAAGAACACCCCTCCCTTTCTCCCTGACAGTTCTCTCCAAACGACTCTTCCCTCATCTGTCTGGAGGGGTGCAGTGGGCTAAGGCTGATAGAACTGGCTTCACGGTTTTTTGCTACATCCTGCATAGTTGACCCAGCACTTCCCTTTAGGATGTGAAAATATTTGGCATCCTCTGAACTACAGATTCATAAGTCTACCTTTGGGACCTCTGCCAAAACTCCAAGACACAGGGAAGCCCACTTTTATATACTCAAAGAATTAAAGTGAGTTTTGGTATTATTAATATTTCCTTCTTTTGATTGTTCCCTCCAAACTTTAGTTTTATTCCTAGTTACTTCCTTTGACCTCATCAATCTGGATCTCCCAGGGCGAGTTATGAGGGGAACCCCAATATTGGTGGCAGTTTGTTGGATCCCTTCCCACAGACTCTGGGCAGGTTGTTCATGCACAGTGAGGGAAGGAGACACATGGTGGGTGTGCCTGGGATCAGTTCCTGTACAGTCCTGCCTGCTGGGGGAACAGCGGCTCTTATCTGGCAAGACTGCCAAAGGAATAATCCAGGACCTTTACTTCCACCCACTTAAGCACAGCGTGAAGATGTGTGAAGACCAAAGCTTTAGTAAGCACTAAGCATTAATTTCTGCCTGTGTTAATTTTTCATTTTACAGTTTTTGTGGCCATTAGAGGAGATGAGATTAAGATTTATAATCAAATTCTCATTCTCCTTTTAATAACTGAATCTAAAAACAGAAAGCATTATTCTCATGAAGTGCTACATGGAATTCCACCTTTCTTGATTTGTTATCTATCCAGCAGATTTTAAAATGTAAGAGAAATTTTGAAACTAAACAACCGGCAAGAGAGCTCATGAATAATGAAGTCCTCGTAAAAGACCATTTACTTGCTCTTGGAATCCATATGCTAGTGAGTAACAATACACTTGCTGTACAGGCTCCTAGGCATTCAGCTTCTCACAGGAAAAATGCTCACTGAGAAGAGAGAGGCAGAAAATCTCCCACACTAATTATTTGCTCAAAAAGATCCAGTTTTATCCCATGGCTTCAATATGTCAGTAACACAATCTGTTATGTTGCAATTGGGAAGTTCTCAACAAATAATTTCAAGGCTTAGTCATTATTTCCTGAAGTTTCACTAAATTAGTAATGCTGCAGGCTAATGATTCAATTTTGTTTTAATGTCATTGTTCAAATTCTTAATACACATAGATCGTGCCCTATTGCATAACACTTAATGCAGGAACATTCACAAGGGACAATTGTGGTTCTAATTCTATATCATTGTTGTTTAGTACCTTAAAATGGGGAAGTGGGAGGTTTCATATGATTTCTATAATTAATTTGGATAACGCAAACAGCTTTATTGGGAAGGGGGGGATCCTTAGCATCTCTCACTTGGAGAGATTTATTTTGCGGTTCCAAAATGCAGCCAACACTGAGATTCTCTTGTGAGCCTACCCTACCAGAATGTTCCAGTTAAAGGAAGTGAGGCCCAGTGGAAAGTGTGTTGCTGTGAGAGCTTTGCTAAATCATAAACTTCCTCTGTATACCTCATCCCCCATCCACACATACACCCATTCGTCAGCAATTCCTAACAGTCCTAATTTTGAAACAAAACTAGGATCTGGCTACTTGGATCACCTTGGTTCTCCCCACTCTCATCTCCCTGCGACTACTTCTAGAGTCTCCTCATTGGTCCCCACACCTATCTACATAGGGCAGGCAGAAGAATCTTGTATTTCCTCACCTTAAAACCCACCAGCAGCTTCCCTCTTGGAATAAAATCCCAACTCTTTGCCAGGGCTCACAGACCCTGCCTGATGAAGACTCCCCACCCCCCCAGCCTCACCTCCTCCCCCTGGGCTCATGGTGTTCTCACCCACATCACCCTCCTGTCTGATCCGCCTAAGCTCTTCCCCACCTCAGGGTCTTTGAGGCGAGGGTGAGCTAGCAAAGCCCCACCTGCACCCACAGCCGCTTCCCATAGCTGCGACACTGCCCGAGCCCCGCCCCCATCAGACCAGCCGTGGCCGCAGACCCTCGTAGGAGCACAAACCCCACTGCAAACCACGCATGCGAGGGAACCGGGTTGCGCACTCCGCAGCAGAATCCAACTCCTGCCGATCTGAGGTGGAGCCCAGGCAGCGACCCAGCCCACCCCCAGCCCGGTCCGTGGAAAAACTGTTTTCCACAAAACCGGTCCCTGGTGTCAAAAAGGTTGGGGACCTCTGCTCTACGTGGACTCTCTTCTTCCAGATCTTGAACTCACTGGCACCTCATTGTCCCTCAAGGTTAGTTCCCGTGTCTGCTCTCCAGAGAGGCCTTCCTTGACACCATCTCTAGGAGCCGTCCCCTTCCTGCGCTACCACCCGTCTCCCTTTTCATTACCTCAGCAGATGTCTTCCAATCAGGAATTACCCATATTTGTCCACTAAAATGCCTGCTCTGTGACACCAGGGACGCTGTGTACTTTGTCCATTGCTAAATCCCCAGCGCAAAGACAAGTGCAAGTTGTATGGGCTCAGTAAATATTTGTTAAATAGAGGGGGTGGGGAATGAATGTTGTGTGCAGACACTGTGTGTGTATTGATTTTTCTTGTGTGAAATTATTGTTTAACCTGCAGGGCTACATATCTTGCCATGTTTTAATTGCTTAAAACTGTGGTCATATTTTCTCACCTATTTAATGCGGTTGCAGTTGATTCGTAAAAGCTGTATTTCTGATTACAAACCTGGGATCATGTGCAGTATCGTTTTGAAATAGTTTGCTTTCAACCTCTCCTCCTTGCAGGGGGAACTTTGGGGTCTAATCCTAACACTAAGCTAACCTATATATAAGAGGCTGTCTTTCAGAGGGAACGAATTAAAATATTGAATGACTTCTGTGTGTTGGTAATTAGAGCCTGCCTGCCCTTACTGTGAGCCCCTAAGTGTTCTTCCCCCTGCCTTGGGAAGTCCCAGTGGGCACTGCTGGTGTGGGCCTGGGTTTCAGGCCTGGGTGCTATCAGGGAGATGGTGCCCCTGAGAAAGGCCTCTTAGGGAGCAAACACTTGGATGCCCATCCACTCCCATGCAGCCATAGCTGATGCCTCACAGTCGCCCTCATATGGCTGCTTTGGGGAACTGCAGTCTCTGCAGTGTATCATTTCTATTAAATAATATTACCGGCCAGATACCATTGGCATTTAACACTGTGGTGGTAATCTTTTTGCCTGAATCTTAAGAATTTCCTATTTTCCCCAGATAGTTACATCATGTTTTCTTTAACTGATATGTTGGTAATCTCCCTCAAGTAAAATGTCTTGAAGGTAGCATGGTATAATTTGGATATGACCTTTACAGGGAATAATCTCATCATTATCACTATTACTCTTTTTAATACTGTAGCAATATCTATGGTAATTATTTACTTACTAGAATAAAGATAAATTTCATTTTAAAAACCTACTGATTTTACATATAAATAAATTTTTAGGGACTTAGCTGATACGGGTTAGCTGAGGATCATGCCTTTACACTTATCTCCTCACTGCTTTGATATATACTTTAGGATGTTTGCTGTACTGAATCTGAAATCAGTCACCTCCCAACAAGATAATTCTTGAGGGGGGAGATGGGAACTGATCTTTAATTTTCATTTATTTGGGCTGGGGTATTTTTTGATCTCTCTGTTTCTGCTCTCTTCAAATGACACAGAGTACGTTTCCTGATGGGTGGACGTCATGGAGAATTTAAGTTCCTGCCTCCCTCTGGCTACGCCCCTTGCTATGAAGCCTTACTTCCAAAAGAGAAAATGAGATTGGAGCCTGTCAAGGAATATAAACGTGATGCTGAAGGGGTTAGAGATCTTTTGGGCACCACCCAGTTCCTCTCCCAAGCCTCCTTCATCCCCTGCCCCATAGACACCAGTCAGGTAGGTTCAAGTTGCCAATGAGAGGCAACCCATATAGATGATGTAATGTAGCTGAATCCTTCTTTCTATCTTGTCTTTGAACCATTCTTACCATACATTCTATAGCACTGTTGTGGAACGCGAACAACTATTATCTTCATGTTTCTACCATATGCACAGCTCAGTTCTTTAAGGATTTCTCAATTAGTGAATGTGTGGAGCTGCTGCTACATGCAGCATACTCTGTGAATGATAGAAATGTTTCAGTATTCTCTGGGAATTCGCAACCAAAATAAGGACTTAAGCAAATGTATTGTTTTTTAAAAGACCAAATGTCATAAGTACAAAATGAGCAGTATGCACAAGTAAATGCTAGACACCTCCTTTAGGCTAGAATGTTTCTAGAAATCTGTGTAGACAGGGTAAAATTCAGTCAGAGCCTTTAATAAACTTAAATGGAAAGGGCATCCATGGCGAATATAAAAGGAATAAATAAGGGCCTAAAAGTAGAAACACAAAGTTGGAACGAGTGGCAATGCATGTTCTCACATGGCTGGATGCTTGGAAGATAAGGAACACGTAGGAGAAGAGTGGAAAATAAAAGCAAAAGAAACAGGGAATGGCATGGAAGCCTTTGGAAGTGTTGATAAATGAACATTTTCTTTTTCTTTCCAGGGTCTGTATTTTGAGAAAAACATATTTATGTGGTATGCCAAGGGGCATACAACAGCTTTCAGCATTTTCTATACCCCAGGGCTATTTGAATCACTATCCTAGATGTTAAAGAAAATAAGTGAAAAGGGACCTTGCCTCTAAGGCACTTGGGGCTAATAGTATGTACTGGTATAGCTCCTTCAGCCTTTGGGATGTCTCTAGCATGTATTTTCCCAAAATATTTGATGACCCTATTATTCATCTGTGTGTATGTGTTCATGAGTTTCCTTCTTCCCTCCTGTAGCTAACGATTGTGAATTTGCATAGAACAGAAACTGCAGCTCTTCTCTGCCTGCTTCACAAAGCCTAGCACAGCACCGTGAACATTGGGGGTGTCGCTAATATTTTTTTTTATTTCAGCATATTATGGAGGTACAGATGTTTAGGTTACGTATGTAGCCCTTCCTCCCCCCCCAAAGTCCGAGTTTCAAATACGTCCATCCTTCGGGTGGTGCGCATTGCACTCTTTGTGTATGCAAGTACCCGTCCCCTCCTCCCTCCTTCCCCTCCCCCCTGCCCAACATCCAATAGATGTTATTCTTATATGTGTGTTTATGTGTTGATCAGTTAATACCAGTTTGATGGTGAGTACATGTGGTGCTTGTCTTTCTATTCTTGGGATACCTCACTTAGTAGAATGCGTTCCAGCTCTATCCAGGAGTATACAAGAGGTGCTATATCACCATCGTTTCTTAAAGCTGAATAGTATTCCATGGTATACATATACCACATTTTATTAATCCACTCATGTATTGATGGACACTTGGGTTGTTTCCACATCTTTGCAATTGTGAATTGTGCTGCTATAAACATTCGGGTACAGGTGCAAAGCAATATGGAGATATCTTAAAGAGATACAAGTAGAAGTACCATTCAATCCAGCAATCCCATTACTGGGCATCTACCCAAAAGACCAAATGATACTGTATAAGAAAGACACCTGTACCCGAATGATAATATTGATAAGAAACTGGGAAGAGTTTGCAAGCTAGAAGTGATCCTAAAAATTGGATAGTTTGGTTTCTGTGTATTCTAGAAGTTAGGGAGGAAAAATTTTTCTTCTGCTCTCCTAGGTTCTGTAACTGGGGGCCGCTGAACTAAACTCTGACCAATTAGCAAGAGAAAAAAAATCAGATATTAGTACAGAGTTCATAAAGAAAGTGACTCAGGGAGGAGGTTAACATTTGGAGCTTATATACTATCTTAATAGGGAAAGGGAACAAGGAGATGGGCACTTTGAGAAAATCAATGACTTTGGGAAAGATATGTGGGTCCTTGGGAGGGCAGATGGGAGACAGAATGGTTTTGTGACAGTGCCTGTTCAAGTGTGGTGCCAGCTTTGGTGATAAGAGTAGATCTCCCAAGGAACAGCTAAATTCTTCTGGGAGCCTTTTCTTTTAGACAGATGGAGTTCAGACAAAGCCCCTCTCTGTATCAGTTGTTTTTCAAATGACTTCAGTTCAAAATAATCCTTATGCTACGTGGCATATCTTGGACCCCTTCATAGACAAGCTTGAGGGCCAAAGACTGACGGAGCTTCTCCATGGACACAAGGCTGCTAGTGCCTGAACAGGGAGAGAGCAGGCACACGAGTGTGACTCCTGTCTGGGTTTCCTCTCCTTGCTCAGTAATCAGAAATTTGTGCATGACTCAGACAAGGCTTCCTAGGAGAAGCTGGCCGCAAAGAGTTCAAAAGAATGAGGGAAAGTTTTAATGGAGGAGGAGAGAAGGGGCTGACCCAAGAAAGAGACGAGTTCCCTAAACGTGCAGAATTGAAGATTTGAAACCAAACAGCAGAGATAAATCCACAAGCCAGAAGGACTTTGACATCTGGACCTAAAGCTGAATTTGGATGGACCCTGGAACTAGGAAAATATTGCTGGGAAATCAAATAATAGGGAAGTTCTCATTGAAAAGGTGCAACTTATTATCTTGAATGAGACCTCGTAATGTTTTAGAATCTATCATTGTGTGAAATTATTGTCAAAGGAGAAGTTCAGTGTAAGATCCACAGTCAACTCTCCATTCTCCCTGGTCTTAGTTAATCAATGAAATCCAAAGCAGTTGTAACTTGTTTGCTAATAATTTCCCCATTTTGTTTATTATCAGAACATCATGCCACTTGCAGTTGTCCCTCTGCAGATTCCATATCTGTGGACTCAACCAGCCGCAGACAGAAAATATTCAGAAAAAAATACAAATTAAAAAACAACACAGTATAACAACTATTTGTGTAGCATTTACATTGGTATTGTAAGTAACCTAGAGATTATTTAAAGTATATGGGAGGATATGTATAGGTTATATTTGACGTAAGACTAGCATCTGCAGATTTTGATATGGGGGAGGGGTTCTAGAACCACTCCTCTGTGGATACAGAGGGATGACTGTATTAACTTTGACTTTTTAATAATTAGGTTAAGTTGATTTTTTAAAAAAATTCTTTAATTAGAAGGCAAGTAGTGGTTGTAACACATTTTGAATATTTTATTGCTGGTTTTGTCTGTGATCTTATACATCACTGACTTGATATGCTTCTATAAAACAGTACTTTTCCCCATAAGTAACCTACACTCTCCCCCAAAAATTGGAATTTTTTAAAATAGTGGAACTTTAATAGTGGAAACACCAATAATCATGGTAATAGAGCAGGAATTGCGAGGGCTGGGCAGGTGACGTGGAAGTGAGAAAGATCCAGCATGCTGTCTTCCTAAAGCGAATGGGGAGTTCTCAGCTCCGGCTGACAGATGCCACACTAAAGTGTGTGTCCAGAGTTAGCCATCTTCCAAGTGGTCAAGAGAAACTAGAAACCTGGATTTTTGTATGAAATCTTCCATTTCCTAAGGGTTGTCAACTAATAAACATGAAAATAAAAATAATGAAGAAAATAGGGAAAAAGAAAAAGCGTGGATCCCCAGTTTGTGACCTCTGTGAAGAGAGAAAAACAAAAAACCAGGAAAACACAGAGAAACTGTCCCTGGAGGTAATCACGGGAGACTTCCCAAAGGTGGTGTCATTTGAACTAAATTCAGAAGGATAAATATGGAGGGTGTTTTCCAGTGGTGAGGAAGGTGTGTGTGTGTGATGGTCGTGGGAGGGAGTATTAGTAAGGGCACAGGTTGCACATGCAAGGGCACAGGACTGTGAAACAACGTGGTCTCTTGGGAGAATTTCAAGAGGTTTGAGAAGGATGTGTTTGTGGGGTTTATGATGAGAGAACTAAAGAGGAGCACTGTATTCGAGGTTAATGCATCTAGTCTTCTCTTAGGAGTGTCAAGGAATGAGTGGGGGACACTCAGGAAGAGAGTGTTTTGATGTGATTTTTGTTCTTGTAGACTCATCCCTCTGGCTGCAGTGTGGAGGATAGATCAGTGGGGAGTTGGAGAGGCTGTTTATGAGTGTCTGGCAGTGTTCCGGGGAGGAGATAATGAGGTTGAGTGATGGAGAGGAGAAGACCCTTCAGAAAGACGCTTAGAAAATAAACATTTCATGACTGATTATGTGGTGGGGAGTGGGGGGATGGTAAGTGCCGAGGGAGAGGGAAGATGCTAGGTTGACTTCCAGGCTTAAAGTGGTGGCGGGCCATGCAACAAAAAGAAAAAATAAAAACAAGAAGAGAAAAGGGGTTTGAAGGAAAGATAAGAAATTCAGCTCTGGGTAACGCATTGAACTCACTTTAATGGAAAAATCCTGTAGGCAGTTGGAACTGTGGGTCTAAACTTCAAGAGAGACCATGGCTGGAGATGCACTGACCTGGAAGTGACCATCTACAGGGGCAGGTGGTGCGGTCTCCCAAGGAGAGAGTGTGGAGGGAGAGGAAACAGGGTGAGGGAAGCATCCCACGTGAAGAGGATGCGACGCAGATACCCACAGAGAAGACTGAGGGGGTTGCAGAGGAGCACAAAGGAAGCCGGGGAGGGAAGAGGAGAGCTGGACACACACAGTCAAGGAGGGCGAGGTCAGAATGGTGTAGCCCCTCCTGGGGCACACACAGGTGACTTCAAATGGGGCACCTGACCCTGTCCATTTTATGATATATTTCAAAACAATCATTCATATAGTTTTGGCTTTTCACCTGTTGCTTTTCCTTTAGGTTGTTTTGCCACCTCACCTAGAGAAGATCCGAGACAGACTGGCTGAAAACATCCACGAGCTCTGGGGAATGAATAAGATAGAGCTGGGCTGGACTTTCGGCAAGGTATGCGTGTGCACGGCCGGCTGGGGCGGAGGGTTGGATTGCCTCGCTGCCTGGAAGGGGTTCTTCAGAGGCTTGAGTGGGCACAGGGACCTTGTAATCCAAGGCTCGCATCCTGCTTCCTGCCACCTGTCCAGCTTTCGCTGCCTTCAATAGTCAGGAGCGCTGAGGACACCAGCTCTTCACAGACAGAACCAGGAGTCCTCTCCCTTCTTACTCCCAAATACTGCTTTCCTTTCTTTGGGAAATATCCAGTGCAGTCGTTCCTCAGTACCTCCTTCGTGACACTCACATCTCCCCTTCTTCCCTTCAGAAAAAGTTGTCCTCCCTGCCTGGGTGGTGAAAAGTGGCTGATTCATTGTTTTGAATCAGAAATAATTTAACATGGTTTTCAGAGGTATCACTAAGATTAATGGACACTCAGAGGAGGTTAGGGAATCTCTTTCAGTAGAAAGCATTTTTCAAAGGCAATGTAAATTGACTGTGTTCTGTGATTTGTGTAAGGTCATGTCCGAGGGCAGAAGGATAGGTGAGTCTGAAGCTTCCTGTGACCCCGACACTCAGATGATGCACATTCTGGCTCAGTTACAGAAAAGGTCCCTGCACTCCAACACTTGTGTATTTATATAGTTACCATAAAACATTCTCACCATGTAAGAATGGGTTCACCATTGAACTTCCAATGTCAAGCTCGGTGCCTATCATGTAGTACAGGTACTCAACAAATATTTGTTGAAGGAATGAACAAATTAGCTGATGTCTGGATCTGCGCTGTCCAAGACAAAGCCATGAGCGGCTACTGAACACCTGCAGTGTGACTAGTCTGGATTGAGGTGTGCTGAAGTGTAAAATACACACTGGATTTTGAAAACTTAGTGTAAAAAATATATAAAATATCTTATAAATGATTTCTTATATTGATTACTTATTAAAATGATACTTTACATTTAATAGGTTAAATAAAATACATTATTAATATTAATTTCACCTGCTTCTTTTTGCCTTTTAATGTAGCCTCTAGAAAATTTGACATTACAGATGTGGTTCATATTTGTGGCTGACTTTATGTTTTATTGGCCAGCACTGGTCCAGATCCTGTGGTCCTTGATGTGCTAAAGAATGCTACCGTTCAGTAATATTATGGTTACGTGAGTTTGGGACAAGCGGGATCATGGCTACCATATGTAAAATTGCTTCCCTGAGAAAGTATGTTCTAAATGCAGACACCTGTCTAGAAATAAATCCACAGAGCACAAGCCACTGGCAAGGAGACTATATCATATCATTTGCTAGAGTGAAGATCATCTATTTGCCTATCAGCAAGTTGCTGTCTTTGTCTTGCCTGGTACAGATTGCCTGGGCCATGTTTCAAAGTGTGTTCTTTTCTGTGTTCCAGTGCATTGCCAGCTGTCAAAACTTAAATCCCATTCTTTCTTATGTTGTCACCTAGATACGAGATGACAACAAAAGACAACACCCTTGCCTTGTGGAGTTTTCAAAACTCCCCGAAACTGAGAAGAATTATAACTTGCAAATGTCAACTGAAACCTTAAAGTGAGTGTTTGAGTTGAAGTTGGACTAAATAGTGAGTAGATAATTTAATGCATTCTAACTAAACTGCAAAGGTATGTCCCTTGCCTGAAAGCATGGCACATTCTGATAAACTGGAGGGGATGGTGATTATTCATGTCACAAGAGGACTTTGCATAGTGAATAACCCATCAACCATTATTACTTAGTGTATCTATTGCTTCAGAAACCATTTGCTGTTTGCTAGGGACAGGAAAAAGGTAGGAAGCAGAAAAGAAAGAAGAGAAACTTAGAATCAAAGGGCCAAGTTCCTTTTGTAGTTCACATTAAATCAAGGAAAAAAGATAAGGCATTTCTAAAAGCCAAGAGGAAACATTAATTCACTAAAATTAATTTTTTTTTGAAAAAGAAGGGCAGAATTCTATTGTTTACAGCTCCAAAGGAGAGAAGAATGCCAGCTGGGACCGCACAGGGAGTCACCCAGGGTTGGGGTAACAGCAAGCTGGAGCAGTGGGGGCCTTATCGCCTCAGAACGGGAGGCATAGCTGGTGTTTGAGGGCACTTGTGAACTGACTAACTTGAAGAACTTCAGGGGCCCTGGAGCACAGCGGCTGTCCCTGGTTATCTGGTACCTGGCCCTGGGTCCATTAACGTGGGCACCTCGACTTAATCAGCAAGGACACTTCTGAGCCATTGTGGAGAATGAAGCCTCCTTCACTCTTGTACCTCCACTATGGAAGCCTTTTGCATGAAACAACTTTTAACTTCTCCATTATCCTACCTATGGGCCCAATTTAGACATTAACTTTTATAGCCCTAGTTGGTATCTCCCATTTTGAATTCTTTGGAAGTTTGTTACCTGTTCTCTCATCTTTATAATTCCCTGTTCTCTAGTTGTTGGGGCAGAACACTTTGAGGTTGTGCTTTTGTTGGCATAACAGTGCTCTGGAAGGTACCTTGTCTCATAGGTTCACGTACGTGAATATCTTCAATTACAGTGATGCTTGTCGAGGATACAGCTTTGTACCTCATGGTGTTAGACACAGCTCACAGCAGTATACAGGTATTATGTAGTAAATATTTGCCAACCTGTGGATTGGGTATTAGGATCCTATCTGTTCATAGAATTAGAGGCAGTGTACAATTCTTGTGCAAATTTATAAACTGGAAAATGTCTCTAAGAGAGGCAGTTAACAAACTTCTCTTTCATAGTCTTACATTTGCTATCATCTAAATCAGGGACTGGCAAATTATGGCCCATGGGACAATAAGACCAGCTACCCATTTTTGTAAATAAATTTTCATTGTAACAAAGCTGAGGTTGTCAGCCTGTGTATGGCCTATGGCTGCCTTTGCCCTGTAATGGCAGAGTTCTAGCTACAGCAGAGAGGTCTGGCCCACAAAGCCCAAAACACTTACTCTCTGGCCCTTTGCAGAGAAAGTTTGCTGACTCCTGGTCCAAATGAACAGCCATTGTCTATTTCCACCAGCTCAGACAGGAGTTAGGGTTCTTGCTATCCTTTGCCTTGCCGTTGACCTTGGTCTTCTCCCTCTGTCACGTCACAGAACCCTCCTGGCCCTGGGGTGCCACATTGCTCACGTTAATCCAGCTGCTGAGGAGGATCTCAAGAAGGTCAAACTGCCCAAAAAGTAGGTGATTTTTTGAGTGGGTCAAGGCTTTAATGCTTCAGCCTGAATTTTTTAATTGGGAGGGTGGGAGCCTCACATTAGCAAGGCAGACATCAGCGCTCATGCTTCTAGCACCAGCTCGGATGGCTGCTCCAGGTACTTAGAGGACACTGAAACCCTCAGAAGCCTGCTGAAACAGAAGTATTTGAGGGTTTTCTCTCTTTTTGCTCCTCTACTCAGACCTCAGATGGGTGCACTGTCTTTCGTCTATAAGAATAGCAGTTGGCACAAGCGCTTGAAAATGGTTTGCAGCCACAGCAAAGAGTCACTCCTCCTCTGGCACTGGGCCAGCCTTATAAATTCTTTATGGAATGGGTGTCTCTGCCAAGACTTAATTTGGCCCCCTAGACCTGCCTGTGTCCTACTCTCCCTCTCACCTCTTTCATTCAGACAGGGTCACATGTCCTCCCATGTTCAGACACTTGCTCAGTGACATAGCCACTGGCTCCCTCGCTCACTCTCATGCGTGCCAGCCTAGGGTGTGCACACATTCACATACAGGTGTCATCATTACTAAGGAGCCAGGGTGATGCCAGCTTTCATCAGCTGCTCATCTTCCCCTTCTTTCCTCTTAAACTCCCAAGCTCCATTCTCCCAAGCTCCTGATACCCAGAAAAGCACACCTGAGGCAGCAGCAGAAGGGCAGACTTCTGGGGTCAGTGCGTGTTGACTCTGCCCAAGGGCAGACATCCCGGGAAGGTGGGCGCAGGACAATATCTCATGCCTACCTACAATAGACCCTGCATCTCATACTGCTCAGAGGTTCCTGGGTAGGATGAGCCCTGGTCTGTGAGTCATCACAGTTAGGCTCTGGCCTGGTCTGGGCAGTCAGTGGCCCTGGGGCCATGGGTGCCTCTGGACTCATTCCCACATGGCTGTGACGAGCTGCCCTCCTGAGACTCCACAATGTGCCCCCATCTCCTCTACTCACACGTTGTACCTACCTGACACAGAATGAGCTTCTGCACATCCTCACATCATCCATTGAGTCACAAGCACTTGGGGCTGTGACTCCTGGACTGGACAGCTAACTTCTAAGGCCACTTCAAGCTCACACATTCTCTGACATCATCATTTGTTATTTTTTAATTCTGAAAGTAAAAGTTTAGTTCTCTAAGACTGATTATTATATGCAGATTTATAAGAAAACATTTAACTCGAGGTCTTATCCTTGCCAATTTGGTTTTGACTTCTTGTGTTTTTGAAGTGAGATAAAGGCACTTCTGGCAATGCTGCAGTGTGCTGAGTGTGCCCGTCGTGTGTAGGACATATGAGTTTTCTTAGAAATAGGATGGATTTTCATGACCATCTACTTTCTCTGATGGTTTCCTTTGAAATTACATACATTGGCAAGCAGGATGGTAGATTAGGGGATTCATCTATAGACTTGAAATAGAACTGAGCTATCTCTTCAGCCAGAGTGGAACCTGTGAGTGGAGCCTCATTTACATAGTATTCTTATCCTGTGCTCTTGGTCTAAAATCTGGAATGGGGGAGTCATAGAGATCTGTTCACAATATGTATTTTGCATTTATTTTCAGCTACATGATGTCCAATGGCTATAAGCCAGCCCCTTTGGACTTGTCTGATGTGAAGCTCTTACCTCCTCAAGAAATTTTAGTGGATAAGCTCGCAGAAAATGCACACAATGTTTGGGCAAAAGACAGAATAAAACAAGGATGGACCTATGGCATTCAACAGGTGAGAAGTGCTGGGTCAGGAGTGCTGGGGAAGTTAGCAGATGTGATTATCCCTCCAAATGCGATTTTGCTTTGGCAGGTATAAGATCAGAAGGTGGAGGTTGCCCTTGCACTCTGTCTGTCACACTGTGCTGTGTGCATTATTTATGAAATCATGGGGCTGGACCACTTGTAATGGTCACATTGACACTCCAGGCATAATTCCAATCTTGCAGAAAGGGATAGGCTTTCCCTTTGTTAGTCTTGATTCACTCATGATATGTGTTGCCTTGCTTATGTACCCACGAGCTGTACCTTACCTCGTTTCGTTGCTTGCATTGTAAAGAGTTGAGCTTTCATGCTACTCTCCAAGGTCAAAGTAAGGCTCACGCAAATCAACATCACAAATCCGCAGTTTTTCTGGGATGGCCCCATGTATCTGTATACCAGCATGTGTGATGAGGAGAGAAAGCTAGCCCAGTGGAGGGGTAAACCAACCTGCCCAGAAGCCTGTGTCCCCTTACTTCAGTCCATTGGACCAAGGATTCCTGGGCAGAGTTCTTGGCTTGAGCAGGCTGCAGCCTGAGAGCCAGGGAACAGGAAGAAGTTAGGCAGAGTTCAGAGGCAGGGTTCAGCACCAACCCACCTAGCACCCTTTTTTCCTTGAAACACTTCACTCATTTTAATAATCATCAGTGATTGGGTTAGTATCAGGGAAGTTTGGAGCGGGGGCGGGGGTGCTGTGTGAACATGAGTTAATTCATACCTGAGCCTCCAAACCTGCACACATCTGGAAGTCGGGAACAGTACCACTGTGGAAACCATGGGGAGCGGGGGCGTGAGATGGTTCAGAAGAGCATGTCATACATATGAGTTCAGGAGGGTCATCACCATGCTTGTCCTTGTTGTCTTGCTAGTCCCTCCTAAGGAGCCGAGAAGGACTCTACTACAAATGTGTGCCTTCCACGATGATATGGACCCAGGGTGGTTCTGCCACCTTTTCTGATGTTTCTCTGTGAAGATTTGTTAAGAGGCTGCTGTGAAGAGGCTATCACAGCTTAAATCACGGCATGACTTTCCATAGGGGAATAATTACTCAAATCCCCATCCACCTTGCCTTGGGAATGGAAGTTTCTAAACCAATTTCATGATGCTTCATTTTATTCACAGTCTGGCATTATTAAAATGTGTTTTTTAATGCTATCTTTGAGCATTAGTAAAATTTTTCCACTTATACTCATTTAACCCTGAGGAGAAGTGGCAAATATGTACACTGCTAAATATGCAGGCACTGGGGAAAGAGCTAATAGCCCGGTAAGAGCCAGCCAGGAAGACAGGACTGTTGCCGGGAGTGCATGACTGGGGCAAGCTACAGTAAGATTACAATGTGTTTTCTCAGCAGCTCTTTTCTCTGGCTTCACATAGGATTTGAAGAACAAAAGAAATCCCCGTCTGGTGCCATATGCATTACTAGATGAGCGTACCAAGAAGTCCAACAGGGACAGCCTGCGTGAAGCTGTTCGTACATTTGTTGGTTACGGGTATAATATTGAGCCATCAGACCAAGAACTAGGTAATGAGTTGGGATCGTTCATTCTGGCCCCAATGTACTTAATAAGGAAATGCTAAATTTAAACAGGTCTAACTTGTACTATTAATAGTATTGGTGCTGAGGAGCACTAAACTAAACAGCGTATCTTTTTTTTTTTTTTAACAAAAGTAATGGAACCATGTTTGATATAACACATCATCCCATTGACAGATGTTTCTGTGATGGGCATTTCTGTGACCCAGTCCCACAGGGAAGACATTATCTTCCGAGGTAGCTGAGCTCTGGGGGACACCTGGTAACAAAACAAAGTCATCTTTTTTTCCTCTTATTTTCCAAATACGTGAATATCAGCTTACTATTGGATCAGGTAATCACATCTCCAAATTAAATTCTAGTGCTGATTAAAATCACCAGCTTATAGTTGATGAGCATGTCATCGTGATCCCATGCCCCTGGAGGTACTATAGGCCAAAGGGGCAGTATTATAAGTGGTTAAGAGGCTGGCTTTGGAGTCAGACCTGGGTTCACATCTTTAATCCTCAGTTTACTGACTCTGTGACCTTGAATAAATGACTTTACCTCTCTGAGACTCTGTTTTTTCCATCTGTGAAATGAAGACAGCATTACTGACCTCATAGGATTGTTGTGTGGGAAAACTAAGCTATGGTCTCTAAAAGATCTACTGTAAAGTAATCGCTCAGTAAATGGTATCTTGTATTATGATGATGATGATGGTGATCTATTATGCACAGATAGCGGGCAACCTGTACCCATTCTCAGTGTTGTTGACAAATTCCTTTGAGGAATGCTACCTAGTTATTAAAGGTCTGTGTTCTCTCTTTCCCTCCTACACCCTCTACTCACCTTCCTTCTCACAATAGCTGACCCGGCTGTGGAGAAAGTCAGCATAGACAAGATCCGATTCTTCCGGGTAGAGCGGTCTTATGCAGTGAGATCTGGGAAGTGGTATTTTGAGTTTGAGGTGGTGACTGGAGGAGACATGCGGGTTGGCTGGGCCAGGCCAGGCTGTCGACCTGACGTCGAGCTGGGTGCTGACGACCAAGCCTTCGTGTTTGAAGGCAGCAGGGTGAGTCTGTATAGTGTCCACACATCCTCAGTTTAAGTTTTCGTTCTCCAAACATTTCCTTGGAAGCTAAAAGTACTGAGTGTCTGGATCTCTGGCTTCAAAGTGAGTGATCACCACCACTGGCTGATTTAGGCATTGAATGAACATTGCCTACTGGTTGTTTTTTTGCTCTTTATGCTGGCAAAGGGGAGGACCGTATACCCAAGTCCTTTCTCTAATCACCTCCATATCTGCTCTTGTCCTGAGCCCATGGACCCCACTCCAGAGGTGACTCAGAATGCTATGCTGGCAGCATGTTGGGAAATCTTACCAATTTTCCCTAGAGAGAATTCTGTTTATTGTCATACCTGTGACTAGGAATCAGGAGACTAAGGCCATCTTTTCTAATCAGCCTTGTGTGTCCTGGTTTTGCTCATTTGTAACAGAGACCACTTCTCCCTGTGAGTTATCCTTGGTAAAGAGGTGAGTGCCCCCACAGAAATCATGTACTTCTACTGGTTAAGAGATATTGCTGATATAGTCATTTGTCCAGCTCCAGGGGGCTTCTAGAACCTCCATTTCTCTAAGCCCTGGGGTCTTGTTTTCTAGGGCCAGCGTTGGCATCAAGGGAGTGGGTATTTTGGGCGTACCTGGCAGCCAGGAGATGTGGTTGGATGTATGATTAACCTGGATGATGCTTCGATGATCTTCACACTGAATGGGGAGCTGCTGATCACCAACAAAGGCTCTGAACTTGCCTTTGCTGACTACGAGATTGAGAATGGTAAACTTACCACCCTCTCCTGATCCCAACTTCATGAGGCTGAAAGAAAACCCAGGGAGAGCTGAGCGAGCTCCTCTTCCTCCTTATTTAGGGTACACTGTTCTTTGCATATTTGAAACCCTAATGGTGAAGACTATCCCTTAGACTATCAGTTTTGAAAAATTAGGACAAATAATAGTGATAGTTGGCAGCATAAATTCTGAACTTCCAGATTGATTGACGGAGCAGCTCTCCTCTAATTTCCTGCCCTGTGCCTTGTTATTTTAAGAATCCCCAGGTTTACCGGTATTACAAAGAAAATGCTTATTGTATAATATGTGACTCAGATCTTTGGCAGGAGAGAAAAATAAGTGAATTAAAGGATTATCCTTTTATTCTGATTTGAATTGTCAGTCTGCATGTTTGTGTAATTGAACTTGATGCTTTGATGAGAACCACTGAAACACAAAAGTTAGATTTAGCTGTTCCCTTGAATGAAATATAATTTATTTTGAAATTCACACACACTGTGAGACCGAAGCAGAGTTGCACTTATTAGTGGCCATGAATAGACGACAATCAGGGTAGTGCTTCCGGCTACACAAAGGAGCAATTGGAGCTTATTATTTCTTGTCTGCATGATTACATTATGCACCCAAGATCATTGGCATGTAGGGTCAAGAGCTCTGGACTGCAAGCTGGGGGACCTGCTGCTGACGTGCTATGTGGCTCCCAGGGAGTCTTGGCTTGGCCTCTCTGGAGTTTACTTTCTTCATTATACCAGAGAATAGAAGGGTAGATGAAATAAAATCCAGTGTTCTTCCCAGACATAAACTTCAGTGGCAGTGACTTTCTATCTGCTCTGTGAAAACCCTTGTGCTTGGTGCGATGCCACCATCTGCTTCTTCATGACAGACGAGGAGGACGCGGTTCTGGATCAGGAGACCTGAGATCTTGCCCTGCCTCTGCCCCTGCCCACCCATGACATCTTAATGGACTTTATTGAACCTCTTTGGGCCTCATTTACCCCTCTGTAAATGAATAGAGCTCCTAGTAGCTCTAACTTTTTGAGACTTTATAAAAAGAAATAGTTACTGCCTAGGAAGCTAAAAAGATATAACTTCATATGCAAGAGCACAAATACAGGCAAGTGTGTGTATATTATAAATCCTCTTTATTGACAGAGTGTTTTTCACTTTATAAATGACTTTCACACACTTTTTATTGACACTTATTATCTGCAACATTCATATCCAACTATACCTTTAAAGAGCTTTAAAGATTTGTCTAAGAATTAACTGTTTGGAGAAATAAAGTTTGCAAGTCAATATATCTTCCTAGAAGAACAGGATGATCATAGTCAGATAGGGTCATATTTTAGTGCCTGAAGAGGTTAGTAGTGCCTGAAGAGGCCTGCCTTTAGTTTCTGAAGAGGTTTAAAACCAAAGTTTTAAAGAAAGAATCCTATTTGGGGAGACAAGTGGGAATGACGTTGCCAGCAGAAGGAATGGCTTGTGTTCAGGTTCAGAGGTGGAGGAGCAGGAATACTGTAGATCACATCAGAACAGTGTAGAAGGACCACCAGATAACTTCCCAAGCAACCACCACCTGCAGTGTTTTCTTCTTGAGGCGAGGAGGAAAACAAAGAGCTTAGAAGAGTCAGGCACATCCCCAAGGAAAGCAGTTTTCTGGGGTAGGAAGTCTCCAAAGATCAGGGACCTTTTCCTGGCCCTACTACTGTATGAGCTGCAGAAAGTGACTCATCTATGAGTCTTTGGCTCAACTCTAAGGAGGAGATAAGAATCTTGTACGTTGCGCAGACTTACAAGAACTTTGTAATGTCCAAAGCCTTGATCCTCAAAGTGTGGTCTGCTTGTTAGAAATGCGGAATCTCTGCCTTGCCCCAGACCAGAATCAGAAACTGCATTCTGACAAGACGCTCGGGTGATTTGCATGCACATTGAATCATGAGAAGCAGCAATCTATTGCATACACAAGTGCAAGTCGTAGCAGTATTAAGGAGCTTGATTTCTAGTTGTAGAATGAGACGAAAATATGAAAAGGTTAATAATGCAAAGCAGTAAATTATAAATGGCAAGTAACTAATACAGACTGAGAGTTCTGTAACAATGGGATTCGAGTTGAATGTTAAATAAAGAACATAAGATGTCTACCTCTAAGGAGAAGGGTGTTCCTGGCAGGGAATGTAACTAGAATGATGCTGTGGCATCAGGAAATTTCAGGAAAAGGTGAAACAGTTTAACTGGAAGATTTACATGTGGAATTTACGGATGATGAAGCTGGAAAGGTAGATAAGGTGCCGATAAGATAGTCTCGAATTCTAACGCTCAGTCTTTTCATTCAAGAAACTATTGTCTACTCTGGGCCAAACACCCTTGCCCTTCGCCTTCTAGGAAATGTGGGGGAGGAGAAGGAACTTGTTATGGGTTTGAGCAGAGGAATACTGTAAAGGAGAGGGATGTTTTAGGATATCCCTTCCTTTAGAGATCATCTGCGTTGTAATGAAAGACATGCCTCATAGGCCTTTGTGTACAGGGACATGATTTGACCTTCAGAATAACAAAGTCTGTTATTAGGATGAGGTTTTATAATAGAATCGTACTGTAATATGTTAGCACATTATACTGTCGTACTGTGTCACACTTCAATAACACAGAGACAAGATAATTGGAAAGCTCTTTCAGTTCTGCAATGGCTCGAGAGTTGGCGGAGGGGCAGTTGAAAGGAAGTCGATGTGCCATTCTTCGATAACAATAGCCCAGGGGCCTGGCGTAACCATATAGCCATCTCTCTGCATAAAGGGGAAAGAGGCAGCAGATCTTGCCTTGAGTTGTTAGGAAAAGCATCTGTTGAAAAGAAAACATTTTCCAAATTGTAGCCCCCCTTAAAACAAAATGCCCCCTATGGTTGTGTTCTTCTGATCGCCAGCATGTCAGCCCAGATGCAGGCCACTAGCCCAGTGACAGCTATGCTGGGGGAAGTCTTTAGCCCTCTGGGGGAGAAATTGGGGCAGACATTACCGTTCATGGCTGTTTTTTCCTCTGGGTTATTTGTAAGTTGTCCCCTCCATCCTCTTCTGCATCATAGGTGATACGCCCTTATCTGCTTCATTAGGATTTTTCTAATTATTGTTCCCTACCCTGGTCCCTGGCCTGGACCATCACAGCTCTCAATGTTGTCGTCTACAGGTGCCTGAAAGCTGAGAAGCCTCCAAGGCAAAACCTTTGCTATTAGCCTTCTCTTTTCCTCCATTTAAAGGAAAGGGAGATAAAATCCTGAACATCCTGCCAGACCTTAGAATGTGTCATCTGGAAGAGGCTCTGGTACAGTCTCCTGTACTGCCTCTCTGCCAGGCGCTCCCCTGAGGGACATCCTGCCTCCTGCGACGTCTTTGGTGTCTGCAGGGGCAGCGTCCCAGGCCGTTCCTGCCCATTGGCCTATCAGGGTTTAACAGATCCCCCAATTTTGTTGGCAGCTCTTCACTAGGCAGAAAATAAAACTTATTTGCAGGAAGTGTCACTGCCATCTGCAGGCGCACATGGTGGTACCTAGGGTCTCCTGTCATTCTCTCTCCAGGCGGGTGTGGCTGTGGCAGGGGAGCATGGTCTCTTGCTTCCCGTGTTTTCTACAAGGCTTGTGACCCTCTCAGTGTTGTCCTTGAACTCAATCTTTGCAAGGCTTAGCAGAAAATCAGAAGGAATGCATAAAACACGCACTGCTGGGTTGAGATGCTCGGAAACAGCCCCAGGATAGTCTGAGCAGTCATCCAACCACCTCTCCCCGAGACCTCAGTTTTTCCCTTACTCATAGTGATTCTCTTTCATGTCCTTCTTCAGTTTGAAATGGATTGAAAGTGGATCTACCATTTGGATTTTCTAGAGAGCTGACTTCTTTCTGAACTTCTGAATTATAGGAAGGTGACCTCCCGGCTATCCTGCTTCCTAATCACAAAATCAGCGTGAGGCTTTGTAATACCAGGTTTATTGGAACGTGGGGTCCTCTACAGAATGTCATGTATGCGTTCTTGCCTTTTCTTTCCTGGGATGAGAACTCTGTGTACACACTGGCTCCAGACAATGCCGTTTGTGAATTTCCTGCCCACACCTCTTCAAAGACGTCAGCAGTTACATCTCTTAGGCTGCATGTGAGGAGAAAGTGTTCTTCTTTGTTTTTCTTTCTTCTTACTTCTCCAGTCTCATTTGAGGCTGAGGGTTAATTGAGTTGTGTGTAAAGCGCAGGTCCTTGTTTATGACACTCAGTGCTCATAGTAATGTCGTGTGACCTTGCCAAATGGATCCTTTTATCCAGATTAATTCCAGAGAGTCATACAGCCACCTGTATAGAGGTGGCCCTTTTTCTCGAAGGGGCCCGGAGTACATTGTGGTCACGGGTCTCTAGCTGCCTAATCTAGAGGCAAACCAGTCAACTATATGATACTTTGGAAAATCATTTGAAAAGCGGAGGAAGAGTTAGTCACAAAGCACGTTAGTTTAGATAAGAATTAGGAAACAGGCATCCTAGCCTCGGTCCCCATTGCTTTCTCTGGACTCCTGCTCAGGCAGCTTTGTTCACATGCTGGCCCTGCAGTTTACTGGGTAACAGACATTGAGCAAGTTATTCAACTTTCAAAGCCTCATCTGTAAAATGGGCATAATAATGAGCTGAATCTGTAGAGCACTAAGCCTGACATTTAGAAAGTATTTCATAAGTATTAGCTCCTGCGGTTTACCACATCATTGTTGTTCCCCTTGATCTATCTACTGTGCAGAGTTATAAAATTACAAGATGTTTAAATGCCTTAAGCAAAGAAGCTTTGGAAATGGAGAGATCATTAGCTAGAGCCTCCTAGCCAGGTAGAGAGAGCTGATTAAATGTATTCAGTTATCAAGTCTTTTTCCCCAGGAGAAAGTTCTGGTGCCTTCTGAGAATTCATCTTTCCTCTCTGTCCATTTTGAGTTTTCTCTTTTCTGCCTCAAGCCTTGGACTTAGCTTTTCTGCGGCTGCTTTCCAGAGCTGCCCCGGCTGTGCCCACTTGGCCCCAGGATGTCCTCAGTACTCTTTTCCTCCCATTGCTCTGTGTCCATGACTTTGGTTTCCCTGTCTTTTCTCACACAATATTGAGTTCTGCCCTGGAGAGAGGGCTTCTGCCCCACAGGGACACTTTACTCTGCAATGAGTGCAGTCCTCTGCCCTGGGACATAACCGCTGTTTAAGCTGGGGCATTCGTCCCCTGTGACTCTCACTCCCTCTCTGGTACATTGACTGACAGCTGGGCTATGACTCAGAGGGTGCAGGATCTCATCCCATTTTGTCACTTGCCCTTCTTGTGACCTTGGTCAAGTCCATTGGCTCCTCAAGTCCTCAGTTTTATCCTCAGTAAAGTGCTGTTCCTTCTGTTGATGTTTAGGAATGAGGAGGAGCCCCAGTTCCTTAGGAAAAAAAGCTTCATGCAAGTATTACCTTTTTCCCGTTACATTGTCAGTGGGTCTGTAACTAGGATGCTATTTACATGTCCCGAGGCTAAATCCTTGTTGCTTCCTCCTGCTCGGGCTTTTATACCTGCTGCTCACTCACTCCACTATTCAGGTTCATGGAGAAGAAAGGAGAAGAGAGACTTTCTTTAGACATCCTATTCCTTGCTCACATCAAGGCTGGGATGCTTCATGAACTTCGTGATCATGGCCCCAAGATAAAATTATTACACTAGTGGTTTTCTTGTTACCCCCCCTTAGAAGAATAACCAAAATACTGCCTTGGGAGTAGGGATAGTTACAGCAAAACATTCACCCTTTCATATTCCATTCCTTGTCCCCATTTGATAAGCTCCTTGGCATTGGATAGTTTCTTCTCTTCCCTTTGCATCTTGCCATGGCACATAAAAGCTCTCTGTCCCATTGGGGATCCAAGAAATTTTGCTGACAAGCAATTCTTATTCTACACTGTAGTCAGATTTCCAGTGGTTGCTTATTTATAAACATCTCTGTTGATAGAAGGGAGATGATTTCATCTATCTGTCCCTAGCACAAAAATGCCAGAAGCAAAGCAGTGCTCAGGATGTCACATGAACAGATGCTTATCTGATTGATCAGTCCATTTACTATTCTTAGAGGCAGGACTGCTGGTCTATTCTGTCCTTGGTGGCCCTGAGAGGAGGCTGTTTGTGCAGACATCACCGTCATTCTTCTAGGATTGCATTAAAGTTCTCTCTTACTTAGAGTACACATCTGTGTCCTAAGAGAGTTCATAGTTTCTGAAGCCAACCAACTAGTTTTTGAGAGATTTGCTTTTCACTTATGTGACTTACTATTTACATAGAAACACCATGGCTTAGGTAACAGTATATAAGCACTCACTCTAGGAACAGTGCATTCTGAAGTTCATTGAGCTTCTTCAGGACAGCTATTTTGAATTCTTTGAAAGGTCACATATCTCCATCGTTCTGGGATTGGTCACTGGTACCTTATTTAGTTTGTTTGGTGAGGTCATGTTTTCCTGGATGTTTCTGATGCTCGTGGATGTTCATCAGTGTCTGGGCATTGAAGATTTGGTATTTATTTTAATCTTCACAGTCTGGGCTTGTTTGAACACCTCCTTCTTGAGAAGGCTTTCCAGGTATTCCAAAGGGAATTGAAGGTTGTGATCTTGGTCTTTGATCTATGCAGCTGTATCAGCCCTGCGGGTGCCCCAAGCCCAGTAATGCTGTGACTGCTGCAGACTCGTGGTACTGGCTTGGTGGGCTTGGGTAAGAGATGGGAGGATTCCCTGGATTACCAGGTAAAGTCTCTCACTCTCTTCCCTCACTCTCTGTCCTGCGCTGCTGGAGTTGGGGGAGGAGTGACGTGGGCACTCCCTCGTGGTCAGCAGTCACAGTTTACACCTGAAGCCAGCCCAGTCTCACCCAAAGCCCATGGTGACTGTTGCCTGGCTACCTCTGATGTTTATTCAAAGCCCAAGGGCTCTTTAGTCAGTGGATGCTGAATCCTGCCAGGACTGGGTCCTTCCCTTCAGGGCAGCCTGTTTCTTTCTGGCCCATGGTGGGTCTAGAGATGCCATCCAACTCAGGGGCTTCAAGAGTCTGCTTGGTGCTTTATTTTACTGTGGGTGAGCTGGTACCCAAGTTGCTCCCCCAGCATAGCACTCCCAGGGAAGGGGTGGTGGAGGCAGTGCAAGACTCTTTTCTGCTCTGTGCCTATCTTTCCTTGATATAATGTTAAAACCAGGTATTATGATGGCTCACCTGACTTTTGGTTCTTCTGAAGGTGCCTGTGTGGATAGTTGTTGACTTTGGTGTTTGTGCTAAGGGCCAATCTCTGGAGCTTTCTATCTGGCCCTCATGTTCTGCCCCCTCTGAAGAGTGCAGTTGGTCTTTGTGTCCATGAAGGAAAGTTATTCCTGTTAAATGTAAATGTTCCCAAAATTAGCCTTTAAATTTCCCTTGAAAAGAAAATTTCAATACCTGTACTCAAGACTATGTCCTGCACGGATCTTTTTATATGCACATAACTTGATGTCTTTTAGTCACTGCTTAATTTCTTTGGTGCTGTCTCCAGGATTTTAAGTTGAGGTGTGATAGTTTTCTTTGAGGGGAGCTCTAACCCCTGCTTTATCCAGCAGCCTCAAAGGCATTCCTTCCCCGCCAAGCGCTCTCTGCAGCTTCAGCCGTCCTCCAGCCTCCTGCCTCTCACATCCTCCCAAATCCAACATAATTAGTGCTTTCCCTGCTTTGCTGATTTGTTGATCCACAATTACGATTTATAAATAGCCCACAAGCGAGAACACCAAACAATTTGAACTTCTGTTTTGGTCTATTCTGCATGGTAATTTTTAATATGATCAGGATACAGATGCGAGCTTGGGGAGACGATAGCTGTGGGAAGAGAGCAGTTGTCTTTGGCTCCTGTTTGAAACTCTCCCCTTCCCGCTTAGGTGGGAAGGAGGACAGTGGCCTAGGAGGATGGGACTTTGTATAATAAATTGTGTTTTCGGATCAAGCAGAATCGTAGTGAAGCTAGTGCTGGAATAATACTCTCAAAGCATGAAGGACCTCTCATTTCACTGGGGAAGATGCTGAGCCCCGGAAAAGTTAGGCACTTTGCCCAAGTCATTGTCTTTTATTTTAAATAAATTTTATTGTGTATATTTAAAGTATACAACATGATGCTATGGGATATGTACAGATAGTAACAAGGTTTCTATAGTGAGGCCAATTAACACATCCATCATCTTACATAGTTATCCATTGTTGGTTTTTGTGACAAAATCTGCTCACCAAGTCTTTGGGCTTGCTGTGTTGTTTTGTTTTTGGTAGTATTTAAATTTTCCCAGAACCTAAGATCAATTTTAACAGAGGCATAGATAAAGAATTTCACTTTTTCTCTTATTGGTTTTACTTTTCTAGTTGATATTTATTTACATCTTAAGAATACTCTTAGCTGGAAGATGTTTTTCCCAAATCGTTTTGAACCAAGCTCACTTTTCTTTCCCATCTACCAAGGGCAGTGGCAGTGTCCACGTGGCCCCCTGTCGTTGCTTGTACGTGCCGAAAAGAAAGGCAAAGGGTTGTGTCCCATGTTTCCTTCTGGGACAGAAAGCCCCTAGGGAAGCAAGGGTCGGGCCTCCTCACAGCACCTGGGAGGGTACTGCGGGCTGAGGCAGGTTCTCTGTAACTCTTCACAGGCTTCGTGCCCATCTGCTCTCTGGGGCTGTCTCAGATCGGCCGCATGAATCTCGGGACAGACGCCAGTACCTTCAAGTTTTATACCATGTGCGGCCTCCAAGAGGGCTTTGAGCCTTTTGCTGTCAACATGAACCGAGACGTTGCAATGTGGTTCAGCAAGCGCCTCCCGACGTTTGTCAATGTGCCAAGGGATCACCTACACATAGAGGTAACGTTACGCGTCTCAGGTGGCCCTGGCAGGGCAGGTGGGCCAAGGCACTAAGCTCCCACTAAGTCTCCTGTCCACAGGCAGCTGCTTACCTAAGTGCGTGTCCTGGATGCTTACCCGCCACCTCCCTGCTGGCCCTGAGAGCCGTAGTTGCAGGCACCTTCATCGGGGCAGCTCAGTGGCACCTTGTAAGAGACAGTCAACCTTGCAGGCTGATCCCCAGCCGTCGGGCCACTGCATTTTCTCCAGATGTGCCTGCACTGGTAATGTCATAGTCATGCAGTGTCCAGAGACTTTAAACATTGCTTTTTTTAAAAAAAAAAGTTTCAATACCTGTACTCAAGCCTACATATCCTGAACACATGTTTTTATATGCACATAACTTGATGTCATTTAGTCGCTGCTGACTTTCTTTGGTGCTGTCTCCAGCATTTTAAGCTGAGGTGTGGTAGTTGATTATGACACTCCCACCTTCTAGGGGGGCAGAGAGGAGCCTAAGATTGTAAGGAGCCTCCTCTGGGTTCTGGCTGTGCGTCTGCTTGCCTCTTTCCAGCAAGCTGACTGTGGTTTTCCGTGGCGGGCGAGGGCGGGAGAGTGTTGCTAACCAAACAGACCAGCTCCATGGCAGCATTGGCCAGGGCAGGTTCAAGGAATTATAAGTTCCTTCACTTACCCTGCAGTGTGAATTCAAGCATTGCTCTAATCCCCCACGTCCCCCTCAGTCACAAATAGTAGAGACTGTTATTTCTCTGACTCCTCCCTCACCGTTACTTTAGAAAGGCGGCTCATTAACTTTTGGAGGTCATGAATCCCTTTGCCAAACTGATAGAATCTAGAGGCCCTCTGCTTAGAAAAATATACAAACCACACACAAATATTTAAGCATTCTCATAGACCCCAGCGCAGAACTGTTCTCTCAAGAACAGAAAGAAGCTCAGGTTATAAGAAAATTATTATTATAAGTCTCCGTTTACTGTATCCTCTGCAGCAACCCCTCTCACACACATTTCAAAAATCCAGCTTTGATCTTTCCTCCCCCACGTCTTCCCCCTGCAATGCTTGTGCCCAGAAACTGCAAACTCCCCCAGTATTTGGAGGAGACTCCAGGAGCCTCAGGCTGTGACGGTGGCAGAGAAGGGTACTGGACTGGGTCCCTCCTCAGGAGCTTTGGGCTCACTGGTGCTTTTTCCCTTAGATGTTCTCCTGCCCTGGTGACAGGCAAAATCTTGGGAAATGTTCTCTGCTTTGGCCACTCGCCCCTGACATAAAAGGTCGTCAGCGTCTGCAGATACTACCCTGCATCTCCCAGCTGCCACACCTGCCTCTCGGGCATTTATTCTCCACTCCTGGCCTCGCAGAGAACCCAACGGGCTCGTCTTTAAATTTTTAATTTCCCCATCCAGGAGCAGATCTGTATTTCTGTAGGACAAGGTCCAAGTAACGATGAGAGTCACAGTTTGGCTGTCACTAGCGAAAGCTCATTCTCACAGTTCTCAGAATGCCTTGCCATAAATGGTGCATGTCAATGAGGGAAGAAGGGCCAGGGTCGAGGTCAGGCCCTCTGGTGTGTCAGCGCAAGCACTTGTCGTGTTTCCAGGTCGTGAGGATTGATGGCACCATGGACAGCCCGCCTTGCCTCAAAGTGACCCACAAGACGTTTGGCACACAGAATAGCAATGCTGACATGATCTATTGCCGTCTGAGCATGCCTGTCGAGTGCCACTCCTCCTTCAGCCACAGCCCCTGTCTGGACACTGAAGCTTTCCAGAAAAGGTGAGGGCGAGGCCTCTGCCTCTCACAGGTGCTCGCCGTGTCTGCTATAAAGTTGGCTTTCTGCTTGTTTTTCACTCTGCTTCAATACAAGAACTCTGAGGATTGGGTTCTGTCTTTCAGTGAGGTAAAGAACGAGGATATGTGTGCACACGTGTGCATACAAGTGCACTTGTGTGTTTGTGCAACGCATAATTAAGAAACCAGTCGTGCTAAAGAGACTCACATCTCGCAGAAAAGTTTCTGCTCTTTTCGCACGTAGCTTCCTTGCCACCCACAATTCCTGTGTTTTGGGAGTAAAAGGAATGCGAGTGCATGAGAGGGGGCAATTGTTGCTGCTTTTGTGTGAAATTAGAAGTTTCTGTAGGCAGATACTGCATTCTTTGCATAACTGTGGGCATCCTCCATCCCTGCAGCTGTGTAAATCATGAGTAATGTGGCTTCTTCCTTCTTGATAAGGAATATATTCCCTGCTGTCTTTTTTTCCTCTGATGTCTATTTTTAATCATTCACGTATGTTTGCCATCTGGAGCCGTCTTGTTCAGGTCTTCTCTAGAGCTCACTATCTCCCAAGCTTTTAAACAAGCACAGCTGCTTGAGAGAATAGGCTCCCCATTCAGAAGTATCCCTGGCGGTGTTGCTGCGATCTCCCCATCTCCCCTCTCAGCCCTAACTCAGCATCTGGGCTGAGGGACACGAGCTGGAAGTCACGGCCCTGCCTTGTGGTAGCAGCTCACAAACGAACAAGTCCCACGACTGGTTGCAGTCACTGGTGTTTAGGAAATAGCCAGTTTCCTAGACTTGCCTTGATCATTAAAGGTAGATCAATTGCCTGTCAGAACTATGGGATTCTCTATACAGCCAAGTAACTAAAATGTGGATTATCTTCCCCTCAGGAAACAGATGCAAGAAATACTCTCTCATACAACAACAGTAAGTAAATGTGCTCAATTATAGTTTTAATTATTTCATTCTTTGTTGTGCCTGGTAATATGCCCCTTACAGCAAAGATCTGTCTAGAGATCCTCTTTAATTGCCAATTACTCTGTCTTTTAATATCCATCTTGATGCTGCCAGAATACGTCTGTGGCATTTCTCTAATGGGAGAAAGAAAAATGGTTATTCATTGCAAAGCAGAAGCCCTACCTGGAGCTCCTAATTGGGCATCACTGTATACTTGTTACCCATTTGCCATCAGGGACCCGACACTGCCTTTCTGATGGAAATGAGCAGCAGTTGGAGAGCTCTCAATTAGATCCCTTTGTTTGCTCTTTTGTGTAAACTTCCATGAGTCAGCTTCCCATGTCTCTGTGCGGTGCCAGGAGTAACACTGAAAGTGATCAAATGGGGAGAAGGAGCAGGAAGCTAGTCCAGAAGGTGGGAGCTACTTTTGTCCCCCTTTCCGTAGCTGGACAGTAGTCGGAAGGCAATACTTCCTAATTTCTTTCTTTCTCTCATTCTTCTTTAGCACCTGGCAAAAATCATGTCTGTGGACAAAATGTATGTCAGCCCTTCTATAAAGTTATCCTACAATACTGAGCTCATAGGATAACCATCATCAGGAGTAAGATTCTTACTGCGGTGACTCCCACACTTAGTATGTTTGGGACACTATGCTTGGCACGTTGTGTCACCTTCTTATTTCATCCCTGTTTAATTCATTTAAAATTGATTTAATCAGCGACCCCTTGCGATGGTCAGTATCATGCACAGAGAAGGGAAAATGACGTGTGTGAGGTCACACGATGAATACCTGGCAATGCCAAGATTCAACCCCAGGTTTGTTTGGGTGACCCTTTTTCCTTCCATTCAAGAAAATTTGACAGCCTACAAATAAGAGCTACTTCATTATGAATAAATCTGCTCAGTTTCATAAAGAATGATGAGGCAGTCACCTTCCTTCATTCTGTAGCTATTATCGCAACATAGTGATAACCTCGAGAATTGTATGATCCCTGCAAGAACTGCTGCTCTTCTCAACCCTGCTTGGGGTTGGGTGTGATGGCCACACAGAGCACATTTGGTCACAACATGGGCTTTTGCAACTGCTTTCAAGACTTTCCTGAAAAAAGCCTTGGACCCGCCTATAGAAGTAGAAAGTCACAGGAGTGCTCTGAGCCCTGACTATTCCCTCTCGGAGGGCGAGGACTGTGTCCAGCTCTCCCCACAGCCCGGGTTAGCCTGGCACCCAGGAAAGGGCCAGGGTTCTGTTTCTGTGCTGATTGTTCTGCGCAGCTGCTGCTGACTCCATGGCCAGCATCTTCTGAGCAAAGGGTGGTAGATTAAGCGCTTGCTTCTCCAGGTGCTAAAGCAAAACAGAAAAGGAAAAATTAGGAAGCCAAAGTCTCTATCAGCCTTCCTTCCAGGTCTAGAGTGTGGTCTCCCTCTACAGCCGTGTGTGCTTTTGCAGAACAAAGAGAGCCAGGGGGGCCCCTGTGTTGTTTCTGCTTCTTGAGCCCCCGCCTCCCCCCATGGGGACCACTGACCCCTCTGTGGTCTCTCCACAGCAGTGCTACTACGCTGTCCGCATCTTTGCCGGACAGGACCCCTCCTGCGTCTGGGTCGGATGGGTGACTCCAGACTACCACTTGTACAGTGAAAAATTTGACCTGAATAAAAACTGCACGGTGACTGTCACCCTGGGGGATGAAAGAGGCCGGGTCCATGAAAGGTAAGGGGCTCCCTCGAGGCAAGGCCTCCTCACTCCTCCCCTAGCCCACCCCCCAGCCTCTCTTAAAAGGGGAAAATGAGGCACAGGCTTGAAATCCCTAAGTAAAATGAGCTGGGGTGTACTACAACAGTGGGAAAGAGTGATGATGGAGATAGAAAGTAATTTCATCATGCATATAAATCATGACCCAGGGATGGGAAAGCTAGAGAGGTACTGGGAGTCTGTGGTCCCTCTCAGAGTTATTTCCATGATCTCTGAACAAGCCCCAATTTCTGCAATATCAGAACAAGGCAGAGAAAATCCCTGAGTGCTTGAGAGAAGTTGGTTCAGAAGAAATAAAAAGATGAACCACATCACACAGCAGCTGATAAACTCAGAATTCCTCATTCCAAGAGTTTGTAATGACTGAAAACATAAGAAATATAAAAGAGACATGGAAAAATCATGAATAAAAACCACTGACTAGAAATCAGGGATCTTAGGGAGAACGTGTTTTAGACATGCCTCTACCCTCGCCCCGGTCGACTGGCACTGTCGCCAAAGAAGGCATCCTTGGCCAGATGTGCCCCAGAGGTGACGCAAAAGACCAGGACGTGTGGTTTCCATTTATGTTTCCCATCTACGTGTGGTACAGGGACATCTTTTCCTACACAGCCATGTGTAGAGATGTAATAAGTTGTTTCTCAAGCCAGCCTTCACTCTCTACAAAGACAAGACCATCTTGCAATTGCATTTGAGAGACTCCTGTCTCACCAAAGGCTCATGGCCAGAGGTGAGTCACAGTTGTGCTGTGAGGGACCAGGGTAGGCAGGGGGTTAAGAGCACAGCTCTGGAAGCAAACTGCCTGGGTTTCCAGGACTTACTAGGAGTGTGACCTTGGATCTGTCACTTAACTTCCCTGGGCTTTGGTCCCATCTGTGAGATGAGAGTATTAGTTCTGATCTCATAGAGTACTGTGAGGATTAAATGAGTTAATTCATGGAAAAATGCTTAGGAGAGTATCTCAACTCAAGCACTCAGTAAATATTAACTATTATTATTATTGCCATCATTTAACGTCTATCATGTTATGAGAGCCAGAACAGATGTTACAAGCAACATTGGGTTTAGATTGGAAAGGAAAATACATGAAAGCAATTGGCCAATCCAGGCTTTGTTCTTCAGCCGTAAGAAAAAAAGGCAGAAATATCTATCTCATTTGGGTTGTTTTTTAATTTTATTTTATTTTTACTCAAGCCTCTTCCTAGAAGAATCATTTGGGTTTATTGTTCCAGGTTGCTGTTTCTGCCACACCAGACAGATTACTTGATTTATCTGAGCCCCAGTGACCACATTTATTGTGAAAATTAACTGACATGTTAGCACCTAGGATAAGACCCAGTATATGGTAGGCACTCAATAATTCTTAGTTCTTTGTACCACATAATAAGAAATAAATACAAAATCGATTTTCAGATGTCTTAGGGCATTTTGAATTTGTGCCCTTTAAAATATGACCAGAGCCAGCTACTTCACACTCCTACAGCTTCAATACATTATTAATTGAATTCCATATTAGTCATCCTTGTAGTTAGCACTTTGATCACTAAAAAAACAGTACTAACGTGGCTGCAATTAAATCTTTATGGTAATCTCACAGTGCTATATCTCTGCAAGAGGCAGTTTGCACCGGTCCCTGCATGAGGATATTAATACTGAGTAAGCAGCCCTGTGGCAGAAGGATCCTTGGAGAATCCTAATGGAAGCCTGGGCTTTCCAAATGAGAGCATAGTCCAGAGATGTAAAGTGACTCTGAGAGTCTACAGAGTCCATTCCAGGATCTCTCCACCACAAAGCGCCAAACCCACTTTCCCTGCACCTGAAGTGGCCTTGTCCTCCACACAGCTGAGACTGCAACAGGAAGCCAAGCTGAGTCACTTCAGATTGACCTTAGGATGTTTAAAGGGGCTGCTTTTGCATGAGGTATAGAGTGACACTCTCATTGAACTCGAGAAAATCACGCCATGTTACTTGAAGGGACCAGGCCCCTCAGAGGATGAACTTGGTAGTAGACACAGTCAGCTGCCTCTTGCCCACAGCCCATCGTGAGGGGCTCTGGGAATCACTTCTGCCACTGTGCATCCTCTCCTCAGCCCACCAGGGTGTGAAATCTTACAGTTAGGGAATCAGGCTTTGGAGCCTTAAAGGCTTTGGGTTATTATAGTTTGCTTTTAAGTGTAAATGCCCATAATGGAGTTCTACATTCCGGAGTGTGGTAGACAGATAGCAGAGAAAGATGCCTAAGTTGATGATTAGCTAGCAGAGCAAGAGCCAGAACTATGAGTGCTGGGGAGGGCAGGACAGTATAGGTCAGGGAGGTGGCAGGGCATCAGAGACAAACGGTCCCTACTTTGTAAGCCTGCCCAGGCCTGCCATCCTAAGGAATGTGGGCCTGAGTTTTCAAGTGTTTGACCACCGTTTGCCCTGAATACCAGACTAGGCCTCTCAACCCAGATTCTTGTTCCTGTCTTTTATTCCAAATCCATATATAAGTTTGCCTAAGGCAGTATTCTCTTTGTGCCTCAGTTTCCCGTCTCTAAGGTGGGAATACTACCATCCCCAGTATCTGTTTCACAAAGGTGAATTGATATTGAGTTGGGACACAGTTACAGAACACTGTGCTCTTTGGAAGGAGGTAGCCTCATAGGTTGCCACATACATCCCTACATGGAGTGGCTCATGCCTGAGTAAATTGGGTTGAAGCTGAATAAATTCATTTAAGAAAAAAAAAATATGTGGGGCTGATGAGAAAGTTTCCTAAGAAGGTTTCTGGGACATTTCATTCCTGAGTCTTGATCACAAGCTGCCCATGTCCAGATTCTGTGCCTTTTCCTCTCTCTCTCTCTCTGGCTCCTAGTGTGAAACGCAGCAACTGCTACATGGTCTGGGGTGGGGACATTGTGGCCAGTTCCCAAAGATCCAGTCGGAGCAACGCAGACCTGGAGATCGGCTGTCTTGTGGATCTGGCGATGGGCATGTTGTCCTTCTCAGCCAATGGGAAAGAACTCAGCACCTGCTACCAGGTAGGGGCGGCTTCGGGAGCCAAGGCAGCGGTGCCCCAGGTCTGGCGTTCAGCACTGTGTTCCCTGTCCTTCTCCATATTTGGCATCCCTGCCACACATTGGCTTACTGAGCCAGTGACCCCAGGTGGTCCACGAGTCAGTTAGGACAAAAAATAAACAAAGTGACTTCATTTTGTACAGAGAAAGAAAGGGGAGGTGGGAATCATATTTATTGGTTGTTCAGATATGCTGGTCATCTTTCCAGAGGATGAAGAAGCTTTTCCTTGGAGCTGAGCTGTAAAAGGTTATTCATTTATTTCATAAATGTCTGTCTCTGTGTAGCCTGTATGATACCTGCACGGTATAAGATGCAAGGTTTAAAAGGTGAGCAAAAATACTTCTCACTTTAAGAAACTTCTATATTCAAAATAGAAATCTATAAAAACTGATTAATTTGTGAGATAGTATTCTCTTTGCAAAAAGGTTTTCACATTCCCTGTGACCTACCTCACAGGACCCTTTAAGAATGTATTTATGTAAATAATGTGTTTCCTTGTTTCATGGACTGTGAACTTCCACAGAGCTACTCAGGAAAACCATCAGGCATATGTTAATGCATGTAGGTTTACCTGTCATCAGCCACAAGAAGCCTGGTCACCTTCATCCTTGATGGCCAGGTGAGCTTGGCCACCTTGCATCCTCCTCTTGAAGTTTGGTAATGAATGTTAGCACTCTAAAAAACTTTGAGAAATACTTCGGAAAGAAACTGTCTAACCAAGCATTTCTCAAATTATTTGACAAAGAAAAGCACTTTTATAACTTTATAACTTTTATAACTTTATAACAATTAATAATCTGTGAATCCTGAGTGCCACAGACCATGCTGTGGGAAATGCTAAGTTAAGGAATTAAATTTCTATATATAAACCTTCTTGACACTGCAGGAGAACAGAGAATCACATGTACGTGTCAACAGAGTGTTATATGAGTTCAGAAAAGGAAGAGCTTGCTCCCATCAAGGGTGGTCAGGAAAATGTTCGTTAAGGAGAAATCTTGATTTTCAAGAAAAACGAAAGGATTTCTTTCAGGTAGAGAGAGCGGAATGTTCTAGGTTGAACGAAGGGAACAAGAAGCATTATGGAGATAGGGAAGCACACGGTGTGTTTGAGGATCAATGAACAGGGATAGATAGCATGAGGCTCTTATGGTTAGTCGTGAGAAATTTATCTGGAATGATAGAGAAGTATAAATAGGAAATGGGAAGACATTGAAGGTTCTGATCAGGGGAGTGACATTCAGTGTTTAAAACATCCAACCATCTTCCAGGGTCACCAGCTTGGCTAACTACAGCAGATTAAAAACCTCCTGCTACTATGTAAGTTGGTAAAACCCCTGACTGGTCAGTCACCCAGGTTACAGCATCCAGGCTGCAAAGCCTTTGGCAGCAGTTGTCTGGCCTGCGGCTGGAGAGATGGGGTCAGGTGCGGAGCAGACAGAACAGCCACCTCGAATCTGAAATGTTCGTTGACCAAGAATGGCTGGACCAAACGCTTCCTGGAGTCTGGGAACAGCCTGCTGGCTTAAAGGCAGCTACCCTTCTCTGCTGTGCATGGCGCTTTCTGTCCCCGTCCCCCTCCTGGGAGAAAGTGGAGCCATCAATGCCACTTGGCAAGCTGGGTCCTGCAGCTGTAGCCCCACCAGCCATTTCCAGACAGAGGCATTTGCGAAGCCAGGCTTTGAGACAGAAAGTAAAGTGCCGTTCTTCCAGTACTGTCTCGTGATTCCACCTCCCCTACCCCCCAAGTCCCCTGAGAAATGTTTTATATACATTCTGTCCTTCAGAATCCATTAGCTTTTTCCCATTAACTTTTGAAATGAGTTTAACTGAAGGGTCCTCCCTCAGCTGCAGAGAACTCTAAAGCATCTAATAACTTTTAAGGCTAGTTGGTCTTTGGAAGTATAAAAAAAAAGATTAATTTTTTAAAAAATGGCATTTGCTGCAGCAGTGACTTTCCTGCCTCAGGGAAGGGCCCACGATGTTGAGATGTCACAACCAGGAGGAGGACATCGTGGCACTTTTATCCCGCCTTCACAGTCGTTCCTGGGTGACATTGGGCTGGTCAGTTGTCTTCTTTGAACTGAATTCTGGCACCTACCTCCCGCTCCTTTCTCCACTGCATAGATCCTGATGACTCTGCTTGGCGATCCCAGGCCTGACTCCTGCCCTGAGGCAGGTTGCTGCAAATGGGAGAGTGTCAGGGCTCTGTCCAGGGACCCTTGGGAGGCTCAGCCCCAGCCAGCCCCTTCTCATTCCAGACAAGACAGTAACAGGTCCAGCCGTGCATCTGGTCCCCAGCAGTGGGATCATTGTTATTCTGCAGCTGTAGCCATTTTCATTTTTCAATTATCTCAAGAAGAACAGGCTGGCAATGTTTATACACTAGCCTTCGATTCAGAAAGGACCAGTAACCAAAATAATGAGAGAAGGATTCTCTCAAACAATGTTTCTAGACCTCCCCATTAAATAATGCTATGCAATTTGAACACTTTTTTCTGTCCCACTTAATATAATCAGTGGAGAAATGAGAAATAAAATCTACATTCAAGAGCTACTCCTCAGCGATTGCCACTCCAGCCACACCACTCCGGGGACAGAGCCAGCTATGAAATTTGGATTTATCAAGAGGGGTTAGCTTTCCATTCAGGCCAGTTCCTATGTCCTGACCTTCACACATGATTAGAAATAGAATGTCTGTTATTGCAAGAACAAAATAGATCAGCCAGTGGTCAAAGGTACTTTAAATACCAAAGGGAAAAAGTCGGTGGCGCATCATGACAGCTCTGCGTCTGGGCTCGTTGCTCATTCTATTAGAATGTAAGCTGCTCATGTGGCAGGTAAGCTCCCTGAGGGCAGGCCGTCTCTCAGGTTCACTGCTGCCTCCCCTGTGCAGGGAACAGTACCTGGCACCTAGCAAGTGCTCGCTGAGTATGTGTTGTCAGACTGACTCGCTTGGCTGGGAAGTCACTCATATTTGTTTTTTATTGCTGCCTAGCACACTGCCACAAAGTTAGCAGCTCAAAACAACATATGTTTATTATCTCACAGTTCTGTGGCTTGACTAGTGCTCTGGTTCTCACAGAATCAAGGTATCCACTGGACTGAGCTGGGCTGTTATCTGGACGCTCTGAGAAGAATCCATTTCTGAGCTCGTGTGCATTGTTGGCAGTATCCAGTTCTTAGATATTGTAGGTCTTAGGCTCTGAGGCCCCTGCTTCCTTGCTGGCAGCCAACCAGGACCACTGTCAGCTCACAGAGGGTACCCACCTTCCTTTTCATGTGGCCGCTCCACTTCAAAGCCAAGGAGGGCACATCCAGTTTTTCTCAAGCTTCAGAGCTCTCTGATTTTCCCTTCTGCCCCCAGCGTGAAAACTTCTGCTTTTAAAGAACTCATGCAATTAGAAAAGGCCCACAAGGTCTCCCTATCTAAAGGTCAACTGGTTAGTAGCCATACTTATGTCTACAGAATACCTTTTGCCATGTAATATAATGTGATCACAGGAGTAACACGGGGCCCTGAGGGGCTTCTAGAATTCTGCTTACCACACCACCAATTGCTGTTTTTATCCTCACGTACACCCTCCTGAGCCCACATTTGAGTTTTCTTCTTATTTTAGCGATTGTAGAGAAATTTCCATTGTTCATAATGGTGGAAGTACACTCTATGTGATGGAAATAAACCTATCCTAGGACATCCTAAATGCTTTCAAAGCACCTACTCTCTGCAGGGAGGTCTGAGTTTGTCTGGGCAGCTTATAAAGTTTGCAGGAGCCAGTTCCGACGGTCCTATAATACTGGTGTGATTTTGTTCAGCATAGAAGCCTTTGCCTGAATGTATTTCTCTCTCCCAATAGCGCAGATTCATGGGCTCCCTGCTGGTCCAGAGCTCTGCTTCCTTAAGGCTGCAGTGACTTGAGGGCTGCAGGTTGTTCTAGATGTCACATACTGAGTATGTGAGAAATCTTGGGGCCAGCCCAGGTACAGTTCCTGCCTTGTTGCCAAAGTCAGAACATCATCAAATCAGAATTTCCTATTTGTGTCTCTCACTGCTGTAAACCCAGAGTCTGGCTCAAAGCAGGTATATAACAGCTACTAAATATTATTGGTTGAACGTCCTTTTACAAAGCTTATTTCAGGCAATAGCCAGGCAGTTCTAGGAGTCTACCCCTACATTTTGATTTTACTGGCATTTATCTCTTCATATCGTCCATGAGTACTTGAAACATCTGGTATAAACCAAATGCTTTTACCTGAAATACGAGCCCACTGTCATGTACTAGAACGACCACGTAGGGGGAGAAAGTCTGGGGCTTCACTAATCTGGCCTGTTTCATCAAAAGAAAATGATAGTACTGAATCTTGCAAGCTTCTAAGTCACTTATAGCCATAAAAATGTGTTTTTATAAATCTTATGTCTAAATGCATTGAGGAAGTTCATTTTTTAAGGGAAGCCTAAACAAATACTCTGACAAAAGGAAAACTCCCTGTATTTATTTTCTACTGCCACATAAAAATCACCACAAGTTTAGGGACTTACAATAGCATACATTCATTATCCCACAGTTTTTGTGGGTCAGGAGTCTGGGCGCAATGTAACGGGTTCACAAGGCTGCAGTCAAGGTATCAGCAAGGTTGCGTTTTTTTCTGGAGCTGAGGATCATCTTCCGAGCTCCCGTCGTTGTTGGCAAATTTCAGTTGTTCGCATTTGTAGAACGAATGACCTGTTTTCATGCTGGCTGCAGCCAGGGGCCACCCTCAGTCCCTCCAGGCCCCTGGCCGGTGAATCACGTGGCCCTCTCACAGGCACCACGCAGCAGCTTACTTGTCAAAGAGCAGCTGGAGAGACTTCCTCTCCTGTCTGCTGAGATAGAGTTTTGTATCATGTGACCTAATCAAGGGAATGACAGGCCTTCACTTTTGCCATATTCTGTTTGCTAAAAACAAGACACTAGTTCTAGGGCAGGAGATTATGCCATAGGGTCACCTTAGGTGTATGTCCAACACACCCACCATCCCCTCGTTTGTAAGTGGGGAGAGTTGCAAGAATTTCCTAATGTCTGAATTTGCTTCAAAGCAAAGGGCTTCAGTTGGTGGAATTAAAGTCTCACTGTGTGAGCAGACTTAAGTCGTCTTTTGTGGTCCGTGGTGACTCCCCCTTGGAAACTGCCCAGCAATGCCTGAAATAAGCTTTGTAAACAAGCTTCGTAGTATAGAACCCAGAGGCTGCTCCGAGTTTGCTCCTCCATCAAAGTGAATAAATAGCATGTAGAGCCCCTGATGTCGTAAGTCAATAAATCCACGTGTCTCACCTAAGCAGCAGCTAGAGGACAATCATTAAATCCCGAACCCTTAATTTAAGGACTGGAATTGTAAAGCATGGAAGGGGCAGAGAGAGAATCAGAGGAAGCCAGGGAGAAGGAGAGATTTGAGTGCACCGGCTCTGGAGACTGCCTCTCTGTGCTTTTCCAGTGAAGTCCCTTTGCCTGTTGAGCAGCAGTTCTCAACCGAGGCTTTTGTCATCCCCCCCACAACCCGCCATGGGACATTTGGCCATGTCAGGAACCTGGTTGGTTGTTGTGACTGAGGTAGGGGTGGAGATTGTTGCTGACATGTGGTGGGCAGGGGGCAGGGATGCCATTCGATATCCTGTGGTACATGGGAGAGCTCCCACAACAAAAAACCACTCAGCCCAACCTGTCAGGAGTGCTAGATTGAGAAACCCTGCCGCTGGATCTCCCTGGGCTCACTTGACCAGTGCTGATTTGCCCTCAGAAATAATCCTGAATCACCACCCCACCCCCACTTGTCATGTCCTGTGGGCAGGCATGGTAAATGACAAGGCTGCCCCTGAGCGGGTGTCTCCAGACTCTGTGAAGAGCAAGGTCACCACATTGCACAGTGACCAAGGGCCGATACTGCCTTTGGTGGCGAGTTAGCTCCTCCCCTGTGATGATCTGAGCACCAGAGAAGACTACTAGCTATATGTACCTAAGAGAAAGAGAGAAAGGATCTGAGATTGTTCAGCCCCAAGTTGAGAGAATGTTTACCATGGGGGGCCGCGACAGTCTCCACTAATGGGTACCAGGTCTCTGAATTTCTGAGCAGTGGAGAGCGACCAGCCAGCTAGCTGTCCTCTTTCAGCTGGAATTAGAATGAGGGCATTGACTAAAACACCCAATGGTTTGGCAAGCTGTGATGTTACAGCCCTGGGCAAACTTCTCCATTTGTTTTGGTTTCCAGGTGGAGCCCAATACCAAAGTATTCCCAGCAGTCTTCCTGCAGCCTACAAGTACTTCTTTGTTTCAGTTTGAACTGGGAAAGCTGAAGGTATTTATCTGTCCCCTCATGTAATGGCCATGACAAGAGAGGGCAGCACTGACCATGAGAGGAAATATTCCCAGGCCTCAGAAGACAAGAAAAGCCCTCTCACTTCTCATATGCCCCCCACGCCCTACGCTTGCCTGTGAAATTCAGATGCCAGAACATGCATTCGTATCTTCCTGTTTTCCTACCCTTTTTGGGTGCTGAAAGAATTAATGCTCATACAACCCACTATTTAAAGTCCTAATTAATGCTGGTAAAGCCCTTAGTGGTCCCTTCAATACATTTGTTTCTCTTCAGTCTAACCATATTGGTTACCATGGGCTGGGCACATCACCGGGAATCTCAGTATCCCATGTGTGTTTTCTCCTCTAATGCCTTCCACCTTGCCCCAGAACGCGATGCCCCTGTCGGCGGCCATATTCAAGAGTGAAGAGAAGAACCCCGTCCCGCAGTGTCCGCCTCGGCTGGACGTCCAGACCATCCAGCCGGTGCTCTGGAGCCGCATGCCCAACAGCTTCCTGAAGGTGGAGACCGAGCGGGTGAGCGAGCGCCACGGCTGGGTGGTGCAGTGCCTGGAGCCCCTACAGATGATGGCGCTCCACATCCCCGAGGAGAACAGGTACTGGAGCCCGCTGGGGAGCGGGTAGGCCTGGGAGCAGGGCGGGGCGAGGCCAGCAGGGAACTGGGAGCACTCTCACTGGGTCCCGCTTGGCCTGGGGTGGCTGCTGATTTCCCCAGTGCCCCGGTTTCTGTTCTTTCCCTTTCCCACTTTCATTATTCACTCAGAAACAGCAGGAAACACACTGCAATGTGCCTGCCACAGGGCCTTTGCTGTAGCTCCTGGTGCCTGGCATCAGGGAAAATTTCCATGCCTTTAATTGAAACCCAAGTGACCCTGAAATATACATTACTTATGACAAAAAGGGGAAGAATGAGGCATGCCTAGCTTTACTTAGAGAACCAAGAATTAGGCTCCTGGTCTCCCCTTATTAAGGGGTACTCTTGAATTATGGCCTGGGTTCAATCCCAGTGATACCATGTTCTGGCTGAGTGGCCTTGGCTGAGTCACTCGTGTTCTCTGAACCTCAGTGTTCTCGTTACACAGTGAGAGAAATGTCCACTCAAAGGGTTTCCGGTGGGACAAATGAGATGGTACGGATAAAATCTAGTATGTACCATTTCTGTACATAGTAAGAATTAAGTAACTTATTGTTGTGGTTATTACTGTCCTTTGATCTCTTCGACTAAAAAAGTGGGTAATGAGAAGAGAGTGGAAGTATTTGATACCTGCATAGCTCCCAGCTGGGTGTCCCGTCGGATCCCGGCAGCAGCAGCACAGGCTAGTGCAGGGTAGGAGCAGAAAAGACCAGAAGCCCAACCAAGTAAGCCAGTTCCAAAAGGCCCTGAGATCCGCGATAAGGAATGAAACAAAATGGGAAATCTAAACAGAGATCAGAGCCCAAGCCCCGGACCCACACAGACAAGGGAGCGACACGCAAATAGACCTCTAAAGTCAGGGAGGAAAAGGTAAATTGGATTACACCAACCGATTTCAGGTTGGAAAGTGTTTCCTGTCTGGACGAAAGCACAAATGTGTTTGTTTTTGGGGGAAGAAATGCACCACGGGTGACGGCAGATTGGGGGTTACAGAGATGATGTTGATGGTAGACTGACGGGGGCTTCTGCTACGTCTTCTGAGGGGCTTTTACCTCAGGAAGTGGAGGATCCACCTGATCCTACAAATGAGATGACCAAGTTCCACTGTCATGTACCTAAATGTTTTCCCGTTTGAGGGTTTTCTATTTTTCTCTAACGAAGAGGACTTTCCCATTTGGTAAGCCAGCGTCCTTAAGTCTCACAGGCTTCCGTGAGCCTCGTAGTTAGATGTGGTGGGTCACCAGGAGCTGGGGTCCGGGCCAGAGCTGAGAGAGGATTGATAGCCCATGAAGGAAAGTGTGGCAGAGACTTCTCTGTCCTTCTGTCCCCTCTGCCTTTGTGGGGCTGGGTGAAATCGCTGAATTCTGGTGTGTTCTTCCTCTCATGGCGTGGCTGACTGCGTGTCCTGTCCTCAGGTGTGTGGATGTCCTGGAGCTCTGTGAGCAGGAGGACCTGATGCAGTTCCATTACCACACGCTGCGACTCTACAGCGCCTTGTGTGCCCTGGGAAACAGCCGGGTCGCCTACGCCCTGTGCAGCCACGTGGACCTCTCCCAGCTCTTCCATGCCATCGACAACAAGTACCTCCCCGGCCTCCTCCGATCGGGTTTCTACGACCTGCTCATCAGCATCCACCTGGCCAACGCTAAGGAGAGGAAGCTGATGATGAAGAACGAGTACATCATCCCCATTACCAGCACCACCAGGAATATCCGCCTGTACCCGGACAAGTCCAAGAGGCACGGGCTGCCCGGGGTGGGCCTGAGAACGTGCCTCAAGCCAGAGTTCCGGTTCTCCACGCCCTGCTTTGTCACGACCAGTGAGGAGCACCAAAAGCAGAGCCCTGAGATCCCCTTGGAGACCCTCAAGACGAAGGCGCTGAGCATGCTGACAGAGGCAGTGCAGTGCAGTGGGGCCCACATCCGGGACCCTGTTGGGGGGTCCGTGGAGTTCCAGTTTGTGCCCGTGCTCAAACTCATTGGAACCCTGCTGGTCATGGGGGTGTTTGATGATGATGATGTTCGGCAGATCCTCCTCCTAATCGATCCCTCTGTGTTTGGGGAACATGGCGGGGAGATGGAGGAGGGAGCAGAAAAGGAGGAAGTGACCCAGGTGGAGGAGAAGGCAGTGGAGGCTGGAGAGAAGGCCAGCAAGGAGGCTCCCATCAGAGGCCTGTTGCAGACCCGCTTACCAGAGTCCGTCAAAGTGCAGGTAACTCTGGGCAGCAAAGATCGTGCCCTGGGAAAGGGCTTGGAGGGAGAGAGTGTGGCCCAGTTTGAGGCTGGGACTGTGGACACTGACCTCCACCTGGTGCTGAAAGAGTGCAGCAGAGATGCTCAGAGAGAGGGCGCCTGGGGGATGCTTGTTTCGGGCACGGAACGCGTTCCCTGATTCTCCCCAAGCCAAAATGAGAATACTAAGCCCTGTCCATAAGGCACATGCTCTACAATTGTTTTTCTAGTACCAGTGATGGGTTTGCCCTGATCTTATTTCTTTCCCTTTGGAATGCAAGTTCTCATTTGTGAGATAGCCATCAGGAGATGGCGAGGAGCCTTTGGCTGTGGGATAAAATAAAAGAGCCAGCTCACAGGGTCATAGCACCCCTCACCTGCTCTTGTCACCTACCGGGCTCTGACCACCCAGCTGATGTGGACCTGTGTGGACAGCATTCACATAACCACCATCCCAGCTAAGGAGGGCAGATGGGGTTTTAGAGGTACCATCTAGAACTTGACTAAACCCTAGGCTATTCAGATGTAAGTTAGCATCAGCCATGCGCTAAGGATGAGAACTTTTGTCTTCTAGGCCCTGAGAAAAGAGAGATGAAAATGAATAGAACAGTCTGTCCCAGTGGAATGATCCCGGCTCAGCCAACCCTGGCTTTCAGTTTCCGCTCCTCAGCTGTTTGCTGGCCATGCAAACTTGCCAGCTCAGTAGCTGATCAGAGGCTTAGCTTTATTATTTGTAAAATGTGGATAATATAATAAAATATAATATTAAAAATATTTTTATAAAATGTTTTATCACAGAATGTATTATAATAAAGTAATCTATAGTAGAGGCTCTCTTATCTAATGTGATGAGTTTAGTAGGTGGCCAGTCAATCAAAATATTGAGTATAGAGGAGAAGCATAAAAAATTTTACAAATACACCTGAAACATTTTATTAAAATATGCTAAAATGTGCTATTCTAATGTAAGACCAAGAGTGAGTTCCCTGACTGATATGTGGAACCCTTTCTTTTGCATAGATGATGGCTGTAACATACCATCTACAATTGCTAATTTGTGAGTTTTTAAAGTAGACTTTGATTTATAGGTAATTGGAAAGCAACCTGGGTGTGGAATACTTCTAGATTTTTAAGCTTTGCCCCAATTTTTTGCAATTGTTTTACATCCCATTTTATGTTTTTCTTTTAGAAACTTTGCTTTTTACAGAAGATTCTAAGTCATTCAACTTAGTTTTCTTATCTCCTTGGTTTATATCATTTTTAATTAAATGGTATAATTATAATCACAAGTGTGGCAGACATATGCTTTGGTTCCTGGTTCACCTGGCAGGAGAAGGTGCACATTTGCCGGAGCGTCCTGCTAGGTGAGAGCACCCCACGCACCAGCAGCATCTGGCGTCTGTCTGTACCCAGGCAGACCGGAGAGCATCCTCTGATTACACGAGATGGTTAAGTGGAGGCGGGTTAATAGAACTTCTGCTTTTAAAAAATGTCAGGAACACACTGAGGATTAAAGGAGATAAAGCACGTCAAGTGCTTGGCAAAGTGCCTGGCAAAGAGTACTTGGTGGTTATAGCCATTGTTGTCATTATTAGTATAAATCATAATAGTGATAAGATTAGTAATAACAGTCCAAAGGGCAGGTCACAGAAAAACAGCGCAGATCAACCAAAAAACAATGAAAGATGGGAAGGGAAACAAACATTTCCATTTTCATCCTCCAGGACTGGAAGATGTCAAAAGGGAGGCAGTGCTCACGTGCATGATTTGATGCTGGTTTTTGTACTGAGCTTCCTGGCAAAATATTTTCTTAGACATGCTATTCTCTCTGTACACAAGCAGGTTTGTTCTGTCTTTAGTGAGCTCAATTTTTGGTTGTTCCTTTGGCCTTAATAGCAAAGAGTTATCTGCATTCAGGCTGACTTGGATTCAAGTCATAGCACCATGGTTACTGTCTGACACTGGACAAGTTACTTTGATTGTTCAAGTCTCAGTGTTATCATCTGTAAAATGGGTATGCTAGCAGCCTCACCAAATTACACGAATTGCTAGTATATGTATATATTTCTTTTGCAGATGTGTGAGCTCCTCAACTATCTCTGTGACTGTGAGCTACAACACCGAGTGGAGGCCATCGTGGCATTTGGTGACATTTATGTCTCCAAGCTACAGGCAAATCAGAAGTTCCGCTACGATGAGCTCATGCAGGCCCTGAACATGTCTGCAGCCCTGACCGCTCGGAAGACCAGGGAGTTCCGCTCACCCCCACAGGAGCAGGTGAGAGTCCCCTCCTGAGCTTCCATCCAATTCCTACAGAAGAACTTGAAACCTACAGAGCAGGGCACACGAAACCTTTATGATATCTGGGGCAGCCTCAAGAGCTGTGGAAGATCAAAAGACCCACTACAATGTCAGGAGACAGGCCTAGTCCTGTGCTAATGACAGCTGAGGAATATGTGCCGATTATCTTGGGTGGGAAAATAACCCTTGCTGAGCTGCACATGGGGCTTCCTACCTTCCCCTACCAACACCTCTGGGTCAAGCACCAGACCACTGTTGGGATGCACTTGTCACTCAGCAAGTACCCACCACTCAGAAGGAGTGTATCCACCAACCCTTCTAGAAGTCACTACCTGTCTATCAGAGACCGACAGAATATGGTCGACGTGCCCCGACTTATGAGAGTTGTTGCACAATCTTTCTCATCTAATGTGTCTAAGCCCCCCTGCCCAGTGTTTGCAACTCTCTCACAAAGCTGCCTCAGCCCACAGAGCCTGATCAAGAGGTCTCAGCAAGCGAGTTGTCTTTTGTGTTATGTTGCATTCCTTTTTTGCAGCACCCCACCTTGTGGTCAACCTTACCCAGATGGGCAGGCTTCTTTGAGAAGAATCAAAATCCTGGTGAGAAACTTCTCAGTGAGGAAGGGACATCTTGTAGAATAATAGTTTCCATTTTCCCCCACTGCTTAGCAGCTCGCTTAAACCCTGCTGGCTAGTTGACCGCTGCTTCCTAAATATTCAAAAGAAAGGACAGATCTTTCAGTGAAGAAATTAGTTTTCTGTCTCTGAAACTAGATCTCTGGATCTGAAATATATGTAACAAGCAGCTTATCCATAAGGGTTGTCAGTATAGTTACCACCATTTTATACTAATGCACAACTACACAACTTTATCCAGTTACTCTCCTAACCTATTTTATAGGATGTAGATATTTATATTGGCTTAAAAATGAACCAGTGAACCACATATCTTGGTGTTGAAAACATTTTCTTGAATACTGGCCTTGCTAAAGACCAGGCAAAGCTCATCATTCCTTTGTTAGATACAAAATGAGAAGGCCCTTTGGGATGGCTGGAATAGATCATCTGCGCCATGCCAAATGCACAAATGTGCTGTTCTCCCCAAGAATTACTCTTGAAGGCTCTACAAATGTTGTCAAGCTTGCTTTTTAGACTGGCAGTGGATCTGAATGTTCCCCCTTTCACTAGGAAAATGCCAGCTCTTTCTTTCACATGTATTTCTGAATACTGGGAAGGCAGAATGATGTGATGATGTGGTTCCTGTTGGCTTCAGACTGGGGCTCCCATTCTGGCTCCCCATTTTTTGCTGTGTGATCGTGGCCACATGACCTCTCTGTGCCTCAGTTTCTTTAGCTGCAAAACATAAATGGCATTTGCGTCTTCCTCCCAAGGTTCTTGCAAGGATCCCATGAGATATTCACTTAGATTGCTTAGCACGATGCGGTTATAGAGTAACTGTTCTATAAATACTAAGCAAGCCAGCGTTAATTTTAGTGTTAGAGGCATTTGCAATTGCCTCGTGCTATATTCTGTGACCTTCCATCAGTGACCCAGTGAGTGAGTTCCCACGTGTTCTCTGGCATCGCTGTCACCCAGCCAGGACTGAGTGAAACGCTGTCCGTGTGGATGTAGCTCTTGGTCCTGCCTCCCGGAAGGACAAGGTTAGCTCCCACCCTTCCTTTCCCCAGGTGCCTCCACACCTTCTCTTCTGCCGTCCCCTCCTCCTTCAGTACTCTAAACAGTCCTCTCAGCAATCATTTCAGACTCATTTCAGAAGTCTGTAACTCGAGAAATTCTTCCCTAATGTATGAGATCAGTGACTTTTGAGCAGGCACCGGAATCAGTGATACAGACTGCCTTGTCCCACTCCTAGAGTTTCTTATTCAGCAGGTCTAGGGTGATGCCCAAGCATTTGCACTTTTAGCAAATTTCCAGGTAATGCTGATCCTGCTGGTCTAAAAATAAAATGAAAGAAGGGACACTAACTGCCATGAAACTCGGCTGTCTTAGCTGCCACCCCACCCAGAGTATTCACCTCTAGAAGGCACCCACGCATGGAGTTCTCAACATAAGGAAGAATTTAATGTCATCAAAGGATATCAAATTTAATGTCATCGAAGATTTAGATCAGTTTCAGAGGACAGCAATGAAGAATCACTTGGAAAATAGGATACATGAGAATTAGAATTTTAAAATGGTGATATCCTTCTACAACCTTTCAAGAGAAAATAGAGATTTTTTTCAGCCTATAGCCGGAGAGTATTCAGAGAGATGAAAAAACATTGGGGGATATAGCTAAGTGTAAAAGAAGGTAGCGCTAAGATTAGTCTTACAGGTGTTGGTGAATTAGGCAGGCACGGTCAGCCAGCCAGCCTTTCACTTGCAAGAGGAGTCAATGAAGGGCATGACTTGCCCAGAAAATCCAGCTCATTCCAGCTTTCAGTTTTATGCCCTGCAGAAGGTAGGCCCCTGCTTCCTGAGTATTCCACCAAAGGAAAAGTCTTTTGGTAAAGAAATCAGTTTTCTGACTCTGAAACCACATCTTCATATCTTATAATATTTTTATTTAATCAACAACCTATCGTTATGTTTCTGATGTAATTACCATAATTTAACATCATGGAACAGCTGCAAAAATGACTTTTCCAACCTGTCTTATATGTGGATGGTATTTTCTTACAAATAATACCTCTACCTACTTCCAAAAAAATGGTTTACAGTAGACGCTTTGAGTAAGATTCTTCCTAACAACATTAAATAAAGTTCATAGCTTAATAAGAGATTGTAAATTTTTCCAACCTAGAAATCCTAAACAGAGTTTGGGTTATCCTGGCCGAGGCAGCAAAACGGACAAGATTATCTCTAGTTATTTCTTTAGTCCCTCCAGATGTTCACCGACCTGAGGTCGTGGGCCTGTGGCAAGAATTCAAAGATCCAGGAACCTGGGTGGGAATGAAAGACAGCTTTAATTTCACTAATCTCTGAGAGCGTTTCTTTTCATTTATAATGTAGGCAGCAAAACAAATTCCTGACTTTATCACCAACAGAAATTGCACCATTTTTTCATATCACATTACAGTGGTTACAATATCTAGAAATACCATTTACGTTCATCATGACGACCTCAAGATCACCGTGGCTGAGACCTGCCACTGCGTGTTTTTTTTTTTTTAACCCAATGAGTTAATAAAGAAGTACATATGTTACTGTACCACAAATTTGTTTTTTATGGTTTTGGTAACTGTATTCCAATATAATTGTTTCTCTTTGTAGTCCTATATATTTTATAATCTGAGAAGTAATCCATGGTTTCACCACAGTGTCAGAGGGGTCCATGGCACAAAAACTGTTAAGAATCCCTGAGACAAAACCATAAAAGAAAAGAATGACAGATTGACTGCGAAACATAAACTTACATGGCAAAAACAAAACAAAAACCCTGTAGACAAAATTAAAAGCTCACTGAAAACTGGGAAATATATTTGGAGTATCTATTACAAAGAGTTAAAAATCCAGAGGTGTATGAAGCACTCAAGGACTAGTTTTTTTAAAAGACAATTACCCAATAGAAAAATGGAGGAAGAACCTGGATGGGAAATTTATAAAATATAAAATAAAATTGGTCTTTCTGTGTGAAAAAACAAAATTCAACCTCACCAATTAATTTTAAATTAAAGCAACAGGGATATGACATTTTTCACCCATTAAATTGGAAAATATTTGAGAAAGTGTTAACTCTCATTACTATAATGAAGATGGCAAAGTAATACTTTTGTATCAATTTGGTAATAATTCAAATTATTGTGAGCTTTCTGGAGGGCAATTTGACAATTCATATCAAAAACCATTAAAATATGCAAACCTGTTGCTTTAGTCATTTCACTCCTAGGAGTTTATCCTAAGAAAATGATCAGAGATGCAAACAAAAACTATTTTAAAGGAAATTCAAACCACTTTATGGAAACAAATATAACAGAATAATTTAACATAAATTATTATTCATCCATATGATGAAACACATTGTACCTTTTAAAAATTAGATTAAGGAAATAAAATGTTCAAGATAAATTAAGTGAAAAACTCTGGTTTTTAAAAAGTGTGTCTAGAATATCCTAAGCTGTGTGTGTATATAGATAAAACCTGGAAGATAGTAACTAAAATACTAACAGTGGTTGTCTTGGGGTGGTGGGAACACAGTAAATTTTCTTTTTTAGGTATACGCCAAATTTTGTGCAATTAATAAGTTACCTTTAGAATTAAAAAAAAAGCCAAAGCTACTTTTACCAAAAAAAAAAAAAATTAATTAATTAAGTAAAATTTGCAAAGGCTGTTAGGTGTCTGTCTAAAGCAGGATCTGATCTCCCTTGAACCAAATTGAGATCCAACTAGCCATTCTTCTCTTGCCCCTCAAAGATCAACATGCTTCTTAACTTTCAACTGGGAGAGAACTGCCCCTGCCCAGAGGAGATCCGGGAGGAGCTGTACGACTTCCACGAGGACCTTCTCCTTCACTGTGGTGAGCTTCTGAGAGAAAAGTCTGTTCCCGATTCCTTCATTAGAAAGCTATTAGGGGGGTGGAAAGGCATTTTTGTATTTAAAATTACAATACTATTGTTCAAGAGGTGAATATCCTAATTACTTGTGTCAGAGAAGGTACCGGAAATAACCCTGGCAGAATATATGACTGAAATTCCTTCTGCCTAGAAAAGACTTTTCTGATATATGGAGAGGAAATAGGGTCTCCAGAGAAAGAAGATAGATAACTGATCCTTATATACACCTCAACCAATTTGTTTAAAGTTAAATAGTTGGGACTTGCTGCTCTCAGCTGAGCCAAGATTGTGATCTCTTTTTCTTTTTAGCTATTGTGGGGTGCGGATGTGTGTGTGTGTAATAACTTCTGCCCTTAGGTTTCTAAGGCAGCAATCCCTACTTTGATACAAATCTGGTTTTAAGTGGCTCTCAGCATTTGTGCTGCTTGTACGGGAGTAGATATAAGTAATATATGGGGAATTGATGACATTTCATTTGAAATAGCTCAATGTTAACTTTCTTTCTGGAGACCCTAGAGCCCTTTTGGAGTATAAATTAGAAAAATTACACTTTGGAATTGAAATTACTTGATGTTCTTGTCGACAATAAATCATTTTTTTTTTAAAAAATAACTTTCCAAAAGATATAATGTAGGTAAATATTTATGAGAGGCTGCCTATAGTATTTTTAGAAAGTTCCAGAAGAATGGGAAGCAGTTTTTTTTAAATTCTAACACATGGTAGTTCCATGTACTGTTTGGGATTTTCACTCTGTTCTGTGGCTCGCTAGGGGTTCCCTTGGAGGAAGAGGAAGAAGAGGAGGAGGATACCTCCTGGATGGGAAAACTGTGTACCCTGATGTGTAAAATCAAAGGCCCACCTGAGCCAGAAAAGGAGCAGCCGACGGAGGAGGAGGAGAGATGCCCTAGTAAGTGACATTGCCTTTTCGTGATAGTACTCCCAGCACTGCTCTTCTAGGACTTAATTAAGGTAATTGGCTTTCTAACAAATGCTGTAAGATACATGTGGGCTGCTTAACTTCAAAGCATCTGGAAATTATAATTGCTGGTAGTTATCATTATGTCTTTTGGGCTCTGCCTGTCTTCTGATTGAAGGAACTTTCGGACTCTTCTGAAACCTAAGAGATGGATCGCTGGGTATCTGCTCTTGTTGCCTGTCTACTTTAGAAGTGCCCGTAAACAGATTTCTGTTCTTCTTTCTTTTATGTTTCCATAATCTTCCTCTTTTAACTGTCATCATTTCTGTCACTTCCATTTGTGATTCCTTAGCATTGAAAATTGCCCCAGGGAAGAAATAAGATAATAGTAAAAGAGGGTTTATAAAGGAAATAGGATGTAGGGTTTTTTCCCCAAGGCAGAGAGTTTTTGGATTTTGGCTATGATTTTGATAATGCAGCATCCTAGAGAAATTTGACCTTCTGTTTTTCAGCAATGCCAAGACTTGTCCAGATTCATCTCTCTGGTCCTTATGCTATAGATGACTCCTACCATTTTGACCCATGTTGATCTTGTTTCATATCATGATTTGTTCTGCAGGGTGGTAGGCTGTCTCTAAGCCATTAGCATTTCAAGAGGAAGATTGTCTGAGTATTACATATCATCAGTCTTCTTGGTGAAGATTCAGCAAATTTATCATTTGTGTTAAAAAAAAGAGGAATTTCTCAGACTTAATATAGTTGCCTTTTATCTTGTTTCCTGTTCCTATCTATCTTGGAACACACTTTAAAATCATAGACTAGAGCAATTGACTGTCAAGATAGGATTGGTTTGTCTGAAGACACTACTTTTGGGTTCATACATCTTATTGCCCTTTATATTGACCTGTCATCTTTGTCAGAATATCCCTGAAGGGATTAAATCACCACCATTTATCAACAGACGCGTTGAAGCCTCTGGCAGAGTATATGGGGGACCTGGCACTGCCAACCCTTGATCGGTTCTATCAGTCATCATGGAAAGGGTGTGTCTTTGGTGAGAATGTGCCAGCAGGGTTCTAAAGTCAAAAAAAAGTGAGTTCGAATTCCCTTTGTGGTTACTGCCAAAGCGTAACTGAAAATAGACTGAGCTGACCCATATGTCTCTTATATTGCCTGCTGAGAGTCTATTTTGAAAGTGGATGCTTCCTTCCAACAGAGAGTATGTCATGACTGAGAGTCCTACAAGGTGACCATTTCATGTGAGGTAAATGGAGTCAGTAGATGAAATCACTTATCGTCTACCTCTGTGAAGTTTCCCTGATACTAAGAATGATGTTCAGGTGCCAAGAATGGTGATCTTTAGCTTTGCTCCCTCCATCCTCAGGCAGACAGACCACGTTCTGTCTGTTTTGGTAGAACATGCACACTAGAGAGGCCAACGCAGCATGCAATTCTGTGTCTTCACCCCATGCTGCTCCTCTTCCATAAGTGGAATTATGAGTGGTTCGAGCTCTATTTCATAAGTGTTCTATCCTGGGATCCCAGAAATAGAGGAGACGGTCAAAGTGGTGAAGCATGTCTAGTTATCAGCATATAGTTTCCCTGCTGGATGTTCCAGAGACGTGGATTCCCTCACTCGGGTGACATTTCAAGATAAATTTTTGGGAATGGTTTAGCCACCACCACCACCCCCAAAAAAATTGTTTTTAATATGATCAAATGGAGGCAGTGTTTATGAATGCATAGCCCCGTGCAATGAAGTTGCAAAATGCTAATTTCAAAATTATTGGTAACTCTGTCCAATCTGATTTTTCTTACCCTTGCATTTGATAAAATAACGAAAGTGTAGATAATGATAAGAACATTCTATAGTGAATTGACAACTTACCAAGCACCTCACACATGTCCTAGTTTACTGTTGTTAGTTTTTTTTCACTCCTCTATTGTGTAGTTGAGGGAAATAGGATTCAAAAGAATTAAGGGATATTTGTTCATTCATTTATTCTTTTCATCCTTATCTGGTTCCAGAAAAATTCCCAGATTTTGCCCCCAGCCCAAGGTAACTAAAATGAGAAAAGCTGTGACTTGAACTCACATCTTCTGACTCTTCCGCTATACCATGAAGCTTGCCAAAGAACTTACTGGCATCTTCATCATAAGCCCAAACACAAATACGTATAGAATGGTCTTTAAAAATCATTATCTTTTTGTCTTGCTTACTATATCTGTGAGATAACTCTCCACTGTGACTCATATGTAGAAAGTCTGAACTCAACAGAATGCAAAGTTTTAACATTTCAAAGTTTGCCAAGCCAAAGATCTGGGCAGTTTTCTGAAAAGGTAGTGGTGAGCCAACCCTGCGATTGTTCCTCTGTGAGAGGTTGGTGTTGGCCAGATGACCTGCAAGGAAACCATATTTTTTCTAGAAAAGAGGGAGAAACAATATCTTGAAACTCTGAGAATTCTGCTAACTGGCTCGATGTTAGAGGAATTTGCCTAAATTAACTCCACGCCATATTGTCAATGAAAGCTGTTACAATATTATCAAAAGATCATATGATAATTAAGAAGTAAAAGAATTTAATAGTAACAGCTCACCATAGTAAGTCACATTTTTCTTCATATCCCAATCCAGAAAATTCCCTAGAAAATCTTTTACCTAGATTTAATTCTAAAACAGTACTTCTCGCACAGTGCAGTTTAAGCAGGGATTCCTTGAATGTAAATGTATAGCCACTGAGTTATTCCTCCAGAAGAGGCCAACTAGCTATTTCTGCTAAATTCTAAAATTAACAAAATGAAATCACCTATAAAATTTTATGGATAAAATTTGATGCATTCCTGATCTCTGTCATTCACTGAATGCTTTCCCCATGGGAAGTTTTTTTCAATCACCTTTCTGTGAAGAAATGTTCCAAGGGGTATTACATGCTCTTTAACAATGAGAGGACAGGGGAAGGAAGCTCCCTGCTGGCATCTCGTCTCTATTCTTAGAGGCCTATAATGACCTATTGCAATTCAGCTTTGTGTGGCATAAATTAAGAATTGAGTTGTAAGTGAGTGTGAGGAGTCCATCTGAAGGAAGTGAACACCACTCTTCTATCTTTTGCCCTGTGATGTTTGCCTTAGAATACTACTTCCCACAGTGCCAGAGCTGAGCTGGCACTGTTGATCTTGAATAGCTCTTCTCTGCCATTATTCTTCTGATGAAGACCAGAACTAAAGGTAACCCTGGAGGTGACCTTAACCCATCAAGCCCCAAAGCTGCCACTTGTGTCAGCTCTTGCCCAGTCACTGAATGGCCCAGGAGCCCTAGACAAAACTTCTCCCCCAGCTAAATGCTGCAGATTTTTTAGTGCTAAGGAGGAGAAAATGTCTACTATTCACCCCCAAAATAAGTCCTGGGCCTCCAACACAAATACTCATGTGCAAAGTACAATAACTTGGTAATAGGTGCACCTATAGAGCTCGGGCAATATTTCCAAACCTCTTCTCTAAAATCTCTGCAAACAGCCTCTCCCTAAAACATATATAAACACAGATATCTTCTCCATGAAGTCTTTCTTTCAACCTCTTCCTCCTTTCCCCTGCCCCAGCCATATAGTGGACTTCCTGACAGTGTATGCATGACTTTCCACGTTACGTGGGGTGTCTTAATGCAGGGAGCACATTGTCTCGTTTCCATATTCAGTTTGGTGGCAGAAATCTTTTTGACCTACAACTGCATGTTAGTCACTTAAGGCTCATCAAGATGAAGAAAACAGGGACCTCACAGACAAGGGAGGAAAAATGCATGGGCAAGCAACTCAATACCATGAGGTCAGATGTACTCTAATAAAAGTGCAGACAGGCCGAGCATGGTGGCTCACGCCTGTAATCCTAGCACTCTGGGAGGCCAAGGCGGGAGGATTGCTTGAGGTCAGGAGTTCAAGACCAGCCTGAGCAAGAGTGAGACCCCGTCTCTACTAAAAATAGAAATAAATTAGCTGGACAACTAAAAATATACATATAAAAAGTTAGCCAGGCATGGTGGAGCATGCCTGTAGTCCCAGCTACTCGGGAGGCTGAGGCAGAAGGATTACTTTAGCCCAGGAGTTTGAGGTTGCTGTGAGCTAGGCTGATGCCATGGCACTCTAGCCCAGGCAACAGAGCGAGACACTGTCTCAAAAAAAAAAAAAAAAAAAGTGCAGACAAAATACAGCAGCTGGCCAGAGGAGGGGAGTGGGCAAATGTCCATGAAGAACATAGATGGGTAGATAAAAGAAGAGGGGAAAAGCATTTTTAATGAAAAAAGCTGCTTCAACAAAGCAACTCAGTGTCATGAGGTCAGATGGACTCTAATAAAAGTGCGGACACATACAGCAGCTGGCCAGAGGAGAGGAATATATGTGACCTTACAGACAGGGGAGGAAAAGGGCATGGACAAGCAAAGGCCCGGCAGTGGAAAAATTCAGGTCACATACAAGAGTGGCAACAAGTTGAGATTGGCTGAATTGTAAAAGGAATAGAATGGGATATTATGGGAAAAAATAAAGTGGTGTTAAAACATACAATATATTGGGAAAAAATCCAATGGTTAAACTATATTCCAGTCTTAGAGTGTTACTGTTTGTTACTATTTGTTATACCCGTGTATTTTATAATACTTGGTCTTCCAATTGTCAGGGAGGGTGTCAACATTTACAGGATACCCACTTTATCCTGAGCATTGCCTGAAGCACTTCTATAAATATTACCCTGTTTAATTCTCACAACAACAATATGTAGTAGACAATTTTATTCCTATTTTACACCTGAAGAAACTGAAGTAAATAACAGATTAAGTAACTTTCCACAATCACACAGTGGTGGCATAAAAATGCAAACCTTTGTCAACCTGAGTTCAATTCCCACCCATGTTATTTGTATTATATAATAGCATCCTGCCCCCTGTAGGCAATGGCTATGAAAGGTTCTTGAAGACTAAATCGATCATTAATGTACTCAAAAAT